GCAGGGGGGTTGGAGATTCATGATCCTTGAGGTCCCTTCCAACCCTGGCAATTCTGTGATTCTGTGTGATTTTTACAGACTACAGTAAAACTATAAGATCACTGAAAGTTATGTGTAATCAATGTCCGTATGAAAGGTGTTAGTGTGACTTTTGTACAGGAAAATCCCATCTCACTAAAGTCATTGAATTCTATAAAAGTGCCAGTAAGCAAATGGCAAAAGGAAATACTTTTAATATAAGATATCAAAATGGTCAAACAGTTACTGATAAGGTTGCACGGCAAAGGTTATTTACAAAAGTGAAGTTGCCCTTGTGGTAGAAGAAAGTTCTTTTATTAATGATTAGCTTGTTGTAGGATAAGAAGCATAAAACAGGACTCAGTGGTAATTTTTCAGGATGGAGGAGTCCCTTGTAGGTGCCCAAAGAATTGTGCTGGGAGGTTTGAAAGATAGGGGTATACCCAAGATGAGAGTAGAACTGTACTTACCACGTCTTGCTCTAGTAGAAGTACGGATAGCTCAATGAAACTGGTAAGGGATCACTTTAGAAGAAAGTAGACTAAAAGATATAACACAGCAGATGCTAAACTTCTAGAACCTGCTCCTAGAGGACATTACAGAGGCAGAAAATACTATCAAGTCCAAACAGAGATTCAACAAATTTGTGAATGCTAGTCCATAAACAAAATCTAAAATACTTGCTAACATCCCTGGTGTAACAGCTACAGAATGCTGGGGATTATGTGGGGAATGGTCTGCAGAAAGTGGACAGGCTTGTATGCATTGCCTAAGTAATGCCTCTGACTGTCACAGCTGCAGGCAGAATGTTGGGCTTGATGGACCGTTGGTCTGACATAGTAGGGCATTTGTTAGACTCTTAGAGCTTTCATGAAATATTTGTCCTTTTAAATATTGAATTATCATCTTTCTTTATCCATGTTTCATTAAACTTGCTTTGCCTCTCTGAGCAATTTTTTATTTCCTTGCCTGCATCCATTTATTGGAGTGCAGATTATTTGTTGAGTTCTTGAACACACACACATCAGCAAACTATATTGGGCTAGGTACTATGTATATAGCATGATTTAATCATCCTAGAAATTTGAATGGTGAACATTTGTGACTATCAGAAAAAACATTTCATCACATATATGGTGAGCCAAAAACATTTATGCTCACTTGAAATCACTGTGAATTGTTGTATTGCAGTCTCTTTTGTTAATATGTCCACATGACTATGCAATAATATAGACACAAATATATTTAATTTGAATGTATAAATGGTATTTTACATGAAGAAATTTACATTAAAAATACTTTAAAAATTCTTAAGAGTGCACAAAAGGATACTTCACCACTCAAAATGGTCAAATTTTTAAAAAGAGGCCATTAGTGATTAGTATGGATATAGAATCATTGGTAGCTAATCTGTGGCTTTTTTTTTATAGGAACTTTTGCCTTAACTTCCTTAATATCTGCCAATGCAGTTGAACGTCTTGTTCCTTCCATTGGCACTAATTTCACTTCAAACAATAATTCAGGAATCTTGGGCCTGTCAGAGTTTGAAATGCAGAGAATTGGAGTTGCAGCAGCAGTTTCATTTCTTGGAGGAATCATTCAGGTAAGTAGTGAACACATACACTCTGTGTTGCTGATGCTCAGCATTTGTGACAGCTATGGCATTTGTAATATATTTTTTTCACTTTTCTTGGAAAAACTGACCCTGGGTCTGGTCTGATATTCATGAATAATGAAATGTGTAAGAATCTGGTGTAAGAATCAGTTGCTCCTTGTATACTATAACTGTATATAGTAATTGTCTGTGTGCACGCTCATAGAGTGTTGCACACTCTATGAGTGTTGCAATATGAAGTAAAACCACATTCAGTCAGTTCTAATATAATGTTCAGTCACTGTTGGTGCTCCCTTTCCTTCTCCTTTGGAAACAAAACATGAATCAGTTCCCTGGTAAGCACTGACATATTCTTGAGTTTTTCTGTTGCTCTTGTCTTGAAGAGAAATACTGTACAGTATTCAATAATTAAAAGCATTAAGGAAAGCATCTTTACATTCTCTGCAGAGTTCACACACCCATTGTTAAAGCATAATAAATTAGTAAAACAGATGTCTTCAAATAATTCTCCAAAGCTTATACAAATGATCAGTGATCTTTTTAATTTTTTCTTTTCCTATTCTGACCACAAACACTGAGTTCCTTTATCCAATGCCGATTGCTTAGGTCTTCAAAGAGGGCTTCTACCTTTCCTTGTAAATATTTAAATGGAAGAAATGTTTCAGCCCTTGACATTGCAACACCTCTGGGTACCCATCCTCCTGAAAGAAACATGGATACCCATGCTTTGGTGCTTTGGGTCCATCCACTATGTAAAAGATGAGCCAAAATGCCCAGAACTGGCATGTCCAGTGTCTTGGCACTTGGCAGGAACTGGGGCATGTACTTACGCTAGTTGGTAGGAGGTATCAAGAAGCATGTTCATTTCTGCTGTGTTGTTGCTGTTTCAATTCTTTTACTGCTTACTTAAATATGCAATGTAAGGGAAAACCAGAGGTGGCATACAGAGTAAACCTAGTTCTGATCACATCACACAGGTTGCCAAGCGGGTGTGGGGTCTCCTCCTTGGAGACCTTCAGAAGGCACCTGGCCATGGGTTTGGGCCTCCTGCTCTGGGTGTCCCTGCTGGAGCAGGGGTGGGCCAGATGGCCAAAAGAGCCCTGCCAGCCTCAGCCATCCTGGTGTTCTGGTGTTCTGTTTTTGTGCTTGGCTTCTGTGTATGTCCGCTTGTGCCAGTGAGTGTATCACACCACTGCATTTCATGCAGAACACTTGTAACAGAAAAAAAGTCCTTTGAGCATACACACTTGGGAGTGCAGTGCTCAGAGTCTGACAATATCTTACATCATCCCTTCTTATGTGTTAGAGGCCAAAATGCCTACAGCAGGAAGCTGGTGACTGCGTTTGATCTAAGTTCAAAATCCAATGCAGAAAATTGTTCTTAGCAAAATCCCATTAGGTGTGTAAATCCGCTTCCATTTTCTCTTTCATTCTGAAACGTACTGCCTTTTCATATGCCTTAAACTGTCCCAGATGGCTTACCTCAGCCTCTGCCCTGTTCAAGCTGGACTTGAACAAGACTGCAACAAGAACTAGAAAATCCTCTGTATTGGTCTTCAGAATGTGTCTGTCAGGGAGCTGAGCCAAGTGCGTGGGCTTCTCTCCGAGGTCAGTAAGGCTACATTTATTACAGTCCTGCTAATAAAGTTGGTGCTTGTGCTGCCACTAATGCTTCATGCAAGCAAAATGATCAGAGTATCTGCCTAGGACACAGAGAAAAGATTACAATACTTATTTTCCATATCCCAGAGGATACTCATCAGTGAAATTCGGGTGGAAGTCCAGATCAAGATTGTGAATAAATTTTGCCATCATCTTGGGTCAATTTTTGTCACCTTGATTCCAGTCTTCTGGCTAGCAGTTGCTGCAATTACTGGATAAAGAGACAAGGAAAATCTTGCTGTAATTGAGAGCTGCGACAGTGATCTGTTTCTTTTCATCAGATTAAATCAGAAGTTAATGGATAGCTTGGAATAAGATATGGCATTCTGGGATAAGAATATGATGTATTTTGGGGAAACAGATTTCCATTGAAGACATCCTGAATTGCAAAAATTAATCGAATTGTCAGTATATTTGGGATGATACTTCTCTGGGAAAAGACAGTTTTGGTGTCTGCCCATAAGCATGTTTCTTTATACCAAAATTCAGTGTTCTAATCACAAGATCTCTCTCACACGCACACACACACACACAAAACAAACAAAAAAAGAATGAAGTGTCTCCCGCCTAAACAGCTGATTCCCTCTTAGAAAGAACAGGCTGAGACATGAAGCCATTTGGCTAGAAAAGGAATGATACTGTTTTTCCAGTAGCCTGGCTAAGCATTCTGAGCACATTCCCTGTGGTTGACCTCATTTTCTTAGCCCAGGAACCAAATGATCTGAAGAAGGAACACCACCTCTTATTCTGAGTAGAACTTTAAAAAAAAAAAAAAAAAAAAAAAAAAGGCAAAAAAGCAAAAAACCCAGCACCTTCCATTCCATGGAGTTTTGAGGGTTTAAAAATTTGTTCTCCAAAAGTGAGTTCATGCAACAGGTAACACGTTATCGGACTCAATTACTTTGGACAGAAAGTTTGAGATTAGTCATTTCCAAAGAGCCTTTTACGTGATAAAAATTTTTTACTGTCCATAAAGTTAAATTGACTACACACTGAAAGTGGAATTCCAACAATAATAAACTGAGTTCGTTGTCATGGGGAGTAAGTATTGAAAGTGGACAAGAGCTAAAAGGACTTGAATTAATGAACATAGAGGGGTTTGGTTTTTTGCAATTACTCATTCTCTCTGGCTAACTCTCCATTCTCTTCTTGTAGTTACCAGGTTCAAATTATGGAACAGTGACGATGGCTGCAAAAAGAAGTTCCTTTTGCCTTATTGTTCTCCCAGTCCCACATTCAGTTTTAATACTTTTCTAGAATTTCTTTTTTTGTTTCTTTTTTTTTTTTTTCAGTAATCCTGTCTTCCACCACTTCAGTTGTTTACTTTTACTACAATTTTATAAAGTTTGTTGAAACAAGATGCATAACTGTTCAAATTTCTCTGATTTTCTGTAAACAAGAATGATGCCCCATCTTCTGAAGAAAAATCTGTAGCTCCTTATCTGAATACCTGCAAAACTAGAAACCTCGATGTATAAAGCTGATGCAACTCAAAGTATTGAAATGACTATACATGTATTTGACATCTGTGTATGTGTGGGGCCAGTGTGATATCAGGAAGCTCAGGATCTGCCAGAGGAATGGAAAAGCTGTGGGATGAAGACACCAATATTACAGTGGCTTGGGACAGAGTAGATCTCTACAGAATTATGCAGTGTTCAGCATAAGGCTCATATCTCTGTAGTTTCAGCACCTGATACATTTGGTAGCTATTGACTATTACTGACTTTGGGAATCATACTGTGGACAAGCTAGTATAGACTAGGTGGACCATCAAATATCAGTGGAATAGGAGTGAGTCTTAGCACCAGCCTTACTGGAATGATCTTTAACACTGTTTGCTTTTCCCACGTATTTGACCAGGGTAGTAAACAGTGTATGAAAACAGTTTCTTCAAATCTGCTTTCATTACTAAATTTAATGTTAGAGTCTGGTAAACCAGTGATGTGAATGAGATGGTGCAGGTGGTTCAGTGGTTCCATTGTAAGCTGTATTAATCCTTCAAAGGACTTTTTGTTTCAATCCTCATTTATCTTACAGTTTACTAAAAGAAGCCCATCTCACTGCTGCCACCGGGAAGCTACACATTATCACCCTTGCTAATGCACATACCCTTGCTCTCCAGGTAGCGATGTTCATGCTGCAGCTGGGCCATGCCACCTTCTTGTTAACAGAACCAGTGATCAGTGCAATGACCACAGGAGCTGCAACACATGTTGTGACTTCACAAGTGAAGTACTTGCTGGGAATGAAAATGCCATACATATCAGGACCACTAGGATTTTTTCATGTGAGTCCAGTAAAAGAGATGGGTTATTTCATTAGCTAACATTTTCTTAAATAATGGTACATTTTAAAAAAATTATATATATGTGAAGAATTTGTGATGTATGTGTAAGAAAGAAGTGATGTAATACCAAAATCTTCATTTTGCTACTTCTTTTTGAGAAACAGATTAGGAAAACTTGATGAAGAGTTAGCAAGACTGGGTCTTATTTTGAAAAGATACAGGAACCACATTTTCAGTATATGTGTGTTACAGCATCAGTAATTCTCTTCGTTAACCTTAGCAATTAGACATTCACCATCTACTAAAATATTTGTTAACTGTTTAAAAGCTTTTTCATAAATACTTCTTAATATATAATGTAAGCAGCCATCTTTTTTTTTTCTTTTTTTTTTTTTTTTAGTAGTTTTTCCAAGGAGACTCTACTTACATATAGGCATATTAGCATCTTGTAGAATTGACAGTGTTAAGTACAACAGCCAGGAAATAATCAAAACACACATTATGAGCCATAATAAAGAATAGCAGTGATAGAAGGAAATATTTCCATCTTGGTGTGTTGATGATATCATAAATGAGGTAATACAAATGCTTTGAAAGAAATCTATTCCCTTATCCCTTGTATATTTTAATGCATATGAAAAAAGTTCTTTGCCTTTCACTTCACTTTTGAAATCAACCTCCTTTGAACATTTTCCAGATTAAAAAATCTTGATATGTTTTTTTCTAAGGTTTTCATTTGCTCTGTAGAAATGCATAAAACCAAATGGATAAACAAAAACCCCTTTGTACAATTTAAAATAATAACAAATAAGGAAGTCTTCACATTTAGAAAGAACAATTTTACCATACATATACTTCAGAATGTTTCTGGTGTCTGTTTAGACTTGTGGGTTGCTTCAAGAAGCTCCAGTATTTCAGTCCCCAGCAGTGAATTTGACAGTGTGTCTCTTGATATGTTTTTTGCTCCAAATTCATGAAACGAGGGACTAGGTTTTTGCTTACTTTTTGTTTTCTTTCTTCAAACCACCTCCCACTCGCAAAGCCCATTGTTTTGTTTCAGACAGCCTTTGGGTTGAGAAAGCAAGAATAAGGATGTTTAATGAAGTGTAACAGGAGGGTTGAAAGTAGAGCAAGCCATTGAAATGTGTTCTTTTACAGCAAGTGAGATCACAATTAAATATGTAAAAATGAGCTTTGTGTATGGAGAATGAATATATTACACCTGCATCAAGCACATGGGATTTCTGTGTTTATACATAGCTTATGTAATGTATTGCATTTCATTTTCCCTGTGTATGGATTCTGCACGTTGCAGAATCAGTGGAGATTTTACAAATGGAAATGGCTGGATGAAGGTGAGAAGGAGAATGGTGAGGGAAGCTGCATGTGAAATCTGATTTTCACAAGGGGCAATGAGAAAACTATCATTAAGTTTTACTGAAAACAGAAAGCCATATTTGTATTTGCCCTTTATCCTTCCACAAGTTTCTGTGGAATGCAACATTACAAAGTGAACTCCTGCAATGTAAGAAGCCTACTTTGCAAAATTGGATCTTTTGTGGCTACGTTGCAAGTTGGTTGCAAAATCCTTGTGGTTGTGCTGCAAGTTGGCCGAGAAAGTCTTCATGTTCACACTATTCCACAACCAGTCTTTTTTCCTCTCTTATTTTTTTCTGTTCTTTCCCTGCCCAGCTCACAGTAGTTGCCTGCATGATTTTCCCATACAGTGTGTTGTATTTCTTAAATAATAATAATAATAATAATAATAATAATAATAATAATCAAAAAGAGGCATTTTTTAAATGTAACAAGGTCATCTACTCTCAGACAGAACCAGGCGTTTTAAGAGATGTGTTACTTTTATTTTTCTTATTTTATTTGCTTCAATTTCCATGCTCAATTTTAGAGCTAATCTTTTGGATTTTCTCGTATGCAGTTAAAAAGAAAGCTCAGGATTTCATTAATCTACCAGAATGCACATTCCTTCTATAAACCATGACAGTGTGCATTATTACCATTTAATATTATGTGAAAATTGGGTGAAATTCAAAGCAGTTAATTTCCCATGAGAACAGAGACATTATGTGTCTGTATATATGTGAACAAAGTTAGAAAGTCGCTTTTTTTTTACTTATTTTTGAATTTACATCAAGTCACTCATATAACTGCATCACTTCAATTAAAATTCTTTGCATGAAAATAACAGTAAGGAGACAATCAACTAAATATTACTGTATTGTAAAAATGTTGTTAGCTATATAATGACACAAAATATTTTCAACACTGAAATATCAAACTAAATTCTACTACAGATTCTGAATTATTTCAATATGTGTAAAATACTGAATTCCGAGTGATTTTTGTGATGAAAACATCTGCAAATATTTCTTCTGAATCAGATTACAATTGTAACTTGAGTTTTAGGTGCTTCTGTTTAGCGCTCATACTTTTATGTTAGATGAGCACGGGAATCTAACAGGCAGTATGAAATCTGAACTGAAGAGTGTAGATTGATGGCTTTAGCACACATTAACCACATGCAGGTTTTTCCTCTGAAGAAACAGTGTGTGGTCTGTGAAATGCTCTGCTTGCTTTGCTGATATCATTGTGAAGTGTGTTTTTAGGGCTTCAGGGAATGATTACCAGGGAATAGGCAGTGATAGCTCTGGAGTCTGATGTGGTAATTGATGTAATATTTATACATATTACTGCCAGATTTGTTTCAGTTTATTACAGACACTGATATTTATGATATCTTTTTTAGAAATGACACCTTTTGGGGATATGGCTGTTTGTTGTTAGCTCTGAAGTATTGACTTTTTATTCACTGATGTAGAGTACATATTGAAGGGTAGGGCTTAGAGAGAAACATCAAATAATACTGCAGGCTGTTCAAGTAAAATGTTTGTGGAAGTCTGATAATGGCATGAAAAAGCCTTACATTAACTCAAGAGTGATGCATCCCAACAAAGAGGAAGTCAGGCAAAAATGCCAGAATGCTTGCATGGATGTACAAGAAGATCCTGGCCACGCTTAACACAAAAAGGAAGCCTACAGAGGATAGAAGCAAGGACAGTTAACCTTGGTGGAGTACAGAGACATTGCCTGAGCAGTCAGTGATCAAGTGGGAAAGGTTAAAGCCCAGATGCAACTGAATCTGGCTAGGGAAGTCAAAGGCACCAAGAATGGCTGACACACACAAAAAGAAGACTAAGGGAAATGTGGTCCCTATGTTGAATGAAAAGGGAGACCTTGTTACTGTGGGCAGTGAAAAGGCCAAGCTACTGAATGCATTCTTTGCCTCAGTCTTTACCAGTAATTCAGGCTTTTAGAAATCCCATGTCCCCGAGGCCAGGCTGAATGAGTGGTACATGGAATATGTCACCTAGGTGGAACAGAATTAGGTCAGGGATTATTTAAGAAAATTGGGCATTTGTAAGTCCACTGGCCCTGCTGGGAGTGTGAGGTATCTGGCAGATGAGATTGTGAGACCGCTATATATAATCTTCACTTGATGAATGCAAAGGGGAGAAGTGCCTGAAGGCTGGAGGAAAGCAAATGGGCTGAGGCCCATGTCAGCTGCAGCTGTCCTGGCATTCTGAGATGCTGTGAAAGCTCTAGAAGCTTGGGCTAGATATTAAAAAAAATAAATGGAATCTTCCTTTTATTTAATTTGTAAAGAAAGATGTTCTAAAAGCTTGTGCACATTTCTTAGTAATCTTTCATTAAAATTATATTTATTCACCCTGCATTAGATCTCAGTTTTTCTAAGCAAACTAAATTAAACAAAAAATACATAGATAGCTAAAGCTGACAATGCTCGTTTAGAAAATAAAAAATAAAAACAAAACAAACAAACAAAAAAACATGTCTCTTTGGCAATTAGGAATGAGTCTCCCCTCACCGCTTTATCTTTGATATAGCTCAACCTTCCCTATGTTTGTGGGTGCAGTTTGCAATGTAGTTTTCTAGACTGCCTTCATTTGTACTAATTAATCACAGCTTCAGCTGGGTACCAAGCCAAGGCCTGTGCTCTCTTAACAATGCATGCTTGGAAGATTGTGTATGCGGACTATTTGCAAGCCACATTAAGACATAGTCCACATTGTCTGATGACAGTGGGGAAATATGTGATTAAAAATTGGGTTGATTACCATATTCATGACATAGGTACATCAGGTTATTTAATAAGTTGTTTTTAAAATGTTTGTTGGGAGTTATGACAAATGTGCTGGTTTATGCCATTCATCCTTAATCAAAAACCCAGGGCCTATATTTCAGTGGAGAGGGCTTCCCTTTATGAGAAAAACTACATTTCTTCTGTTTTTCTGTCACCATTTTTAGAGTTTTTTATTGTATTTTCAGTTTTTTACCCCTTATAAATTATAAAGGTCATCTTAGAAGTGGTAAGAGAAGAAAAATCAGGAAGCCATTAATAATATACTCGTGCAAAAAAAGCATAATCTCTTCAATGAGTGACAGAATCAGAACAGGGGAAAAAATTATCATCACATTGACTGCCTTTCTGCTAGAACAGAGCTCTTTCCCAAGATAATTTATCTATTCTTTTTTCCTTCCTAACATGAATATATGTATTGAAGCTCCAAACTGTCAAACTTTGTTAGCATTATGCATTTATTTGGAAATAGGTTCTGTGAGGCAGAGGATTATTAATATCTACTTTGATAAAACTACAAGTATGACTTTTCATTTATTCTATTGACTTTAGAATCGATAGAATCGTGGAATACTTAGAGTTGGAAGGGACCTTTAAAAACCATCTAGTCCAGCTCCTCTGCAATGAATGGGGACATCCACAGCTAAATCAGGTTGCTCAGAGCCTCGTCCAACCTGGGACCTGTGATCTTAGTTGTTGCTAGGAAAAAACAGCATTTACATATATTTTATTTCAAGCGTAAGTTCCCTAATTTTATTATCCTTCATGTTGTGGTTTTAAGGGAAGTTACTTGTGAAGCAGCCTGAAACTACAGCCTAGATTTTAACTTATTTTTTCTATACAGTTTACGTTTTGGACTACGCAACAGTTCTTAAAATCTTAATGCAGAATTTAAGTGTTTAAGCCTACCTTGCTTTTTCTCCACCTTGCATCTTTATAAAGCATGTGCATTACTTTCATTTTCATGCTTCTTTGTTCCTCTGATCAGTGGACTTATTTTGCAGCTTTCAACTTAAAACTTCATGCTGGAGACAGAAACAGAGCCAAGGAGATAGCGTTAGTCATTTAAATAGTCAACAGTGCCTACACACAAAGCATGACAGGCAATTAGTGTGTGCAGCATCTGGACCTGATCAAAACATGCGTCATGGAGCACTGTTAGTGAAATGGCCATGAGCAGTCAACAGGGACACTGAATGTATCTTGCTCTGTACAAAATATTTGGATGGACTCCCCTAAGTGCTGGAGAGGTGGCCCAGAAAACAGCAATCATCTGGGAAGATTCCTCCTGCTTCCCTTCCCAGCCACTACTGCATCTTTCTTTCCTTTTCTTTCTTCCACTCTCACCCTTCTTTTTGTCTCTTTAATTCTTTCCTCAAACCTCACATTTGCTATTAGAGTTGGTGGATGTTGTGTGCTGTGGACACCAATAATGCATCTTTGTTCAAGTTTCTCTCAATGTTTTTATGCTTAATTCACTGAATTTAATGAAACTAGAGAAGGAAAGGACATATATCAGATTTACTGGAATTTTCTTGCTTCTACAATCAATAGAAGTGTATAAATTATTGATGACACAGCTCTTGGAATACTGATCCCGCTCACCCAGGTAATTCAGACATTTGAAGTGTAGGAAATACCATACCATGTAACCTGGAATTATGTACTTTGTGATTTGTGAATATAATCTGTTGTTCATCTCAATCACTGCAGATTTATGCCTACATATTTGAGAACATCAGATCGGTTCAACTAGAGACTTTACTTCTCTCCTTGCTGAGCATTGTGGTGCTTGTTCTTGTTAAGGAATTGAATGAGAAATTTCAGAGAAACATTAAAATTGTTCTTCCTATCGATCTAGTTTTGGTAAGTAGGAAGCCAAATATCAGACTTTTTGTTTTATAGAGTTTTCAGTGGCTCAATTATTTCCCTGAAGTTTTCTATGTTTTCTGTAGTTACTCACGCCTGCCACTTATTAAACAAATAACTAATTTTCATGGCTGTATATGAAATATGAAAAACAAGAAAGAATTTGGCTAAATAATTAAGAAAGAAGTGACATATGTTCCCAATTTTTATAATATTTTTACTACTTTTTTGCATAATTACAAGAGCATGAGTTCTAGAATGTTAAACTATAAGAAGTTTAATGTAGAAAATGAAAAGTAACTGATATAACTCCAGGCAAGCATTGTGCTGAGTAGTTCTGACTTAGATACTGCATATTATTTCTCTGCAGCAAAGTTAAATACCTAAGTTATTGCTTTCTATAATTTTAACTTATAGTTTTCCTTTCATATAGCATAGGCTAAATTGAAATTCTATGTTATACAGTAAATCTCAACTTTAAGGACTAAACTATAGTAAAATAACCAGCTCTAGGACAGAGGTTTCTGTTTTGTTCTAGACCAGTAAAAGAAAATTTAACAATAACAATAAAAAAAAGGCTTATTTCAGAGTGGATCATCATGATTACTTTTTTTTGTTGTTTTTGTTGAAAAAAACTGTTTACAAAAGAACCCTTTTTCTTGTATAAAATGCTGGAAAATGAGATTCTGGTCTCTGCTCTGTGATCTGTTTGTGTATTGCCCATTAAATAATACTGGATAAAACACAGCAAACCAAGCATGATGGACTACAGCATGTTCCTGTTCTGGGATTTCTGTGGTCAGCTCACGAAAGTATGGGAAATGAGCTTGAACCTCTTCAGGGCCAAACTTTCCAATCTCTCAGCACGGTTTATACCTGCTGAAACATAAATATGAGAGGTAACCACATCTTCTTCTGCTGGGTTGTGTGCTGAAGTCGATATTGCCATTTGGGATTAGATGTACTCAGGGAGCATGAGCTGAATCACACACTCAGGTGCACCTCGGTTTTGAAGTACTTTAAACTGTGAATGGCACTGGTTTGAGGCATGTACTGCACAGGGGCAGTTTGATGATGACTGGCAAGTGGCTTTTCAGATTGATTTTATTATCACAGAGCATCAAAATTCCTCTGTCGCAGTCCTTCCTCAGATGTACTTTCTAAAACTGTTATTGTGTCCAGATCATTTCTTTTGCCTCACTTCCACATTTACTATAATTTTAGTTATAATACTTCCCTGTCTTACTGGATTAGTGTAAAGACACATGCATGAACACTGTCATATTCTCAGCTCAGGTGGTATCATGGACTATGTGAGAACCTGAAAGCAATAGAAACATAATGTATTTTTTCTATATTGAATCAAACAGATAATTGCTACATCCATTGCCTGCTGCTATGCTGACATGGAATACGTCTATGGGCTAGAAGTTGTGGGACATATTCCTCAAGGGTAATATGGTTTTTATTAGTTTGTGGCTTCTCAGTATGTTTAGATCTATAAACAGCTTCTGAGGAGGTCAGAGTAGTTTTTTGGAGTAAGAAACAGCAAAATCTATCATTTTCATTCATGACCTTCTCGAATACTCTCTCACAATTCAATCTCACATTAACAATGTGTATTGATGTAGTCTTAAAAATGCAGGGGTTTTTTGTACATTTTCATAGTTATCTCATTACTTTATGCAGTAAAAAGTAGCTACTGTATACCTGATGATGGCTAATGGATGTATGACAGGAGGGCAGTCTACTAGATTACTGCTACCTGTGTTTTGTGTAACAGAGGACTGCAGAGAGATAAGGCCTGTAGATTGCTACAATGAGTTCTATGAGTTCTTCTCCACTCATTTATACAGTAATTTTAGAAAATGTGGCTTCTGAAGAAAAATAAAGGATTTCGCTATGTTTTATCTATGGAAGAGCATTCTGACTATGGGCTGTGATACATTTTCCTCCATGAATTTGAAAAGAAGGAAAAAGATATTCAGTATAATTAGCTGTGAAAACAATCAGATTAGGTGTTAGGGAGAATGTTCATACTCCTAGGGCTGGTAAGGAACAGCACAGCTGTTCTATAATCTCCCTCTTGGAGATTGTAGGGTTTCCCTAAGTTTCAAAAGGCAAGCTCTGAGTGCATGTGTGGCAGATTGCACTTATGTAAAATAAGGGAAGTTGCTGAGTGAGAAAATTATTTTTAACTCTTTGGGTATGCTATCACAGGCTACGTGTTTCCAAGGCTGAAACAGTGTTATGTACTCCTTTTGATATGCATTATAAGCAGTTAAATTGTACTGATACAGCTTTAATCAGAAGCTTATTTTCTGTCTAATCTCACATGCCAAGATTCTGTAATGTTGAAAAACATAAGCAGAAAGCTAGATCCTTCCCACATATCATTAGGTGTTCACCTGAAACTGCCTTATCAGTGGAGATCATTAGAAACCTTGGGTGTTCTGAGATCTGAGGGGACATAACTTGCTCTCAGGAGAGACTGACATCTTTTTGAATAGTACAGAGATAGTTTGGTGTGATTTGGTTCTTAAGTGCAGGGTTTTATAGCATTAGAAAATTGCCATTAGAAGGAGTAAGTTTCCATACCTATGGAGATTCTGAATGCTAACACTGTTCCGATTATCTAAAATTTAATAAATGTCTCAAGTATTAAACAACATTAACCATGCATGCAAAGACTGTTTCTCTTAGATTGTCAAGAATCACAGAAGTATTGAGGCTATCTTTATTTTTTACAGGCTGCCACCACCAAAACTGCCACCCATGAATGTCCTATCTGAAGTAGTCACAGAAGCTTTTGGGGTAGCACTGGTTGGTTACGTAGCATCACTAGCTCTAGCCCAAAGCTCTGCTAAAAGGTTTAATTACACTGTGGATGATAACCAGGTAATGTTCTTTCTCTTTACTTAAGGAGACCAGAAGGTCAGTAAGCTATGAAACTCATTTACCATTTTAGAGAAGTGTTATGGATGGAAGCCCAGTAAGCATAAATTCTGTATGACATCCTGAGGCCTTCCAATGATTACTGTGGAACTCAAATCTAGTCCAAATCAGCTCTGCTGAATATCCTATTTGGATGAGCTATACTTTTTGAGGAAATGCATCCTTCAAGAATAATCTCATAATGCTGCATTTCATACAGACTGCAGCTAGTTTAGGTGTTAATGGGTTTTCCCAGTGTTTCAAGGTGGGACAGCTTCTCTTCTGGCAGCTGAGATCTTAAAGGCCAGCTAAGATTTTAAACCAGTGATTGATTAAAAGAAAGAAATAAATTAGGTACTTACAGCCCTAGGACATATCTGATGTTATAAAATAAGGATTATACAATGAAGAAGTCTCATCTGAAAGTAAGATTTATTTATATAAAAGATGCAGGATGATTTCAGAGGGCACTGCCAAATTTGCAGCCACAGGAGCTCTCTGAGTAGAGCTCCGCTCTGCAGTATGCTAGCTTAAATAAAAGTGGGATGATTTCTTCCTGCGCTACCTCACTACTGGTCATGGTGAGTAGGCAACTTCAAGGCAAGTGGGAATCCATGGAGTCAATAGTTCGAACACTGGTAAGAAATACTCCTAACTGCCAATTAATGCTGTGCAATGAGAATTCTGCTCCCAACTTCCTGTCAAATGGAATAGGAAGTTGGGATAAATGACCTAATGTTGTATGAAGAGCAGTTGGTTTTGCAGCTGGAGACCTATCTGAACATCCCATCTAGACAGATTTACCTTGCTACATCAGTGCCTATCTTTTGCAGCTCCCCCTATCAGTGGAAAATAAGGCAACAGTATTCTTATCTACTCAGATGTCTAAACAATTTTCTAAAATGAATACATTATGCCCTGATTTTCTGTTGGTGCTGAAGAGCAATGTTTCCTAGGGAGTTATGCCTGAGGGCAATGTGCTGTGCCTGGAGAGTGCTAAACTGAGCACAGCAACCTGTGTGTTTTATTGTACTTTTGGAAAACTTGTAACTTCTACTGCTTAACTACTGAAATGGTGGAAATCATGTGCATGTCTGCAGAGGATAATGGAGTAAAGAGCAAATCCTACATGAGAACAGAGCAGACAGGGCAACATGGTGGTAAAGTTGCACTACATTCAGGAGCCAGGCACAGCTCTTTGCATGGTATCATGTGGGTGTACAAGTCTATCTGGGTACTTTCATGGTGTTCCTCTCTGGTGCTGTGAGGACTGACCCACCATGATGTGTTTCCCTGGCTGGATATGATGTCACATGTGTACCAAGCACTTCTGGCAGCACCAGTATCTTTGTCACACTGCCCTTGGGGAATGGATGAGTTCCTTCCAGTGTAGGGCTGGAGAGTACTGCTGGGTAGCCAAGCTGTTCAACTCAGTTTTCAGATACGAGGTGGCTTCCTTAGTGCATTTTTTCTTCTTCTGTAATAGTTGTTTGTACATACCTGCATTTTGCTTGTGAAAATACATAGAATGCATTTTTAATGAAAGGGAGCGTGCAGATAGTGTTACTGCCATACTTCACTTTCACTAATGCATATATGAAAAAAAAAAATCAGTGGCTATCTTCTTCCAATAGAGTCACAAGCCAGAAAAAAAACTGGACACTGTCCAGATCCCACTTTTTGAGCCTCTGGCCTGCTAAAAAGCAGATGTGGATCAAAATGCAGCCATTTTTACTGAATTTTGTGTTCAAAACTCAGCAGTATCATTTATTCTGTGGAAAAAAAAATGCATCTCCTGTTTTTGGTGAATCTAGTTCAGCAGCTCTGCCTTTCAAGTTACATCTGAGTTGTGAGAATATGTACTGGGAGATGTTTTATTATGTACATACGTTGTGTTTTTCCCTAACAATTACGGCCATCCTCCATCATGGCTAATATTCTCATTGAAGACTCCTTTGTTGGCAAGAAGCATTGAAATGATGCAGAAATAGGAAAACAAATCAAAACAAAACTCATTCTCTTTAACAACTTTGCAGGAACTTTTGGCTCATGGCCTCAGCAACGTGATTCCTTCATTTTTCTTTTGCATACCAAGCGCGGCAGCGATGGGACGGACGGCACTGTTATATAGTACGGGCGCCAGAACACAGGTAATGGGATAGAGTGCTGTAAGTGGAAGGACAGTGACCATGCTGCTCACTGGAGCTTGCTCTGATTAATCCACTGCATTCCACCATCCTGCAAAATCCCTATCAATTTTAACCATCTGCATGGAATTACGTCTGGCAACAGTCTTAATAGAAAAGCTAATGGCTCCACTTATGCATTTTTACCTGTCTAATTTGATATAAACATTAAAGTCTGGGACAGTATGGAGGTGAGGGTGTTGTGTTTTCAGATTGCAGGAAACTATGCAAGAGCCCTTTCAGTTTTGTATAAATTTGTCAGCACTGTAACAAAAGTGCCCTCTAATGGCATCTAGTGGATTTATTGGTACAGGCTAACCTAATGTGTTTGTGTTGTGTGTTTGTTTTTTTTTTTTTTTTTTTTAATAATAATTAGTGATCCTATATGATTTTCAAAAGAAAATGAATGTAATTTTAAGGGTTGCTCCTAAAAGAAACAATGTGCTAACTTCTGTCCTGTGTCTTGGTATATTTCTTTTGACTCTCACAAAGCATTCAGACCACAGACATGGCATATAGTTTTCTCAGGATGTTTTTTGCTTTCTGTTTGAAATAAAAACCCCAAATTCCCATGGCAGTACCTCGGGAAACAGGGAATTGTAACTGAAGAAAATGTTCACTGGGGTTCTGTAGTGTTGTAACCTGTCCAATCTGTGCCTCGGAGCAAGAGAGGCAGCTAACTTGGTGTGAGATGGCACCATGTGGGTGAGCACTGAACACTGCCTCTCTGTCCTTACTCTGAAATTCAAGAACCCATCAGGGCCATCCTGCCATATAAATGCTGTATCCTCAAGAGTTTGCTGCCATTGTCCTTTTATAACTCCTGCCCTTGCCTGTATAAAGGTCATTAATTATGAAAAGAACGGTAATGAGATGTGACTGCCAAAGAAAAGCACAGACTGTAGGTGGTGATCCGTCCTGTCTATATCCTGCAATTGTTTCTCTTGCAGACACCACAGTAGTAAGAAATGATACAAGGTTTTATTTCAAAACCATGCATGTTAATTACTTGCTAATTAGCCTACACACTTCTCTGAACTCTGTTAATCATAATGAATAATTTATCAAATAATCATCTTTAAAAGCATTCATATGCAAATAGTTTAGCTGCCATTTTGCTATTATCCACTTCAAATTTTTGAGGTAGATTCAGTGCTGTACCGTGTGCCCTCATCATCACTGACATTCTCTTCTGTTACCTGTTCATATCTTTCCAAATTAAAGTTTTACTGCATCATGACTTTTCTAAGAAAGCTAATTAACCTGAATGCATATAGGGCATCTGAGCACTTTGGCTCTGGAACATATAGACAATGGCCCCATGAGAAAGTCATTCAAGATATAAGATGGAAAAAGAAACCACCACAGCTTGAAGTCAAAGTGGGAAGTCCATGGTACGAATAATGAATATCTGCTAGGTTTTATCCAGCAGTTTCATAGTACAGCAGAGTTTGCATCCACAAATTAGAGTGTGGTTGTGCACCAGCATTATGACAATTCTTGAAATTATAATATTCTCTCACCTGTCTTCTTTGCCTATGTCTTAGAAAGCAGTATATTCACTCCTGCCCATTCTTTTAGAGCTGTCTAGGCAGAATGAGCAACTAAGAAGAATAACTGTCATAGATGTTTGTCAGATCACAGACAAAAAGAAAAGCAATGGCTTGCTTTGCATACACAAAAATACATGACAGAAATGTGCCGAACCCGCTTTTCTCCAAAGACCAAACTTCAGGTTCAGGGATGTAATTTATTCTTCCATGCAGGAAGACAGGAATCCAGACCCTGTCATACTGTCCATACTGTCAAGTTTCCTATTTTGATGGTTGGACTTAGAGATCCTAACGTTCCTTACCAACTTGAAAGATTCTATGAGCTGTGATATTATATCTGAAAAAAGGAACAGAAGTGAAGAACCATTTCATCGACTGAGCAGTGTCCTTCAAGTAGAATCGACACTTTGTTTTTTATGTTTTGAACAGGCAGAGAAAGGCAAAAATTCCTTGTGATTCTACCAGCAGATTTTGCATCCCTTTTTCTGTAGAAACCCTATCTGTCTCTCTTGACGGTATTTTAAAGTATGTGATGGCTCTTGTTTTCTACTCTTTCAACAACTTACCTGTTTTTATTTTTACAACTTGTCTCTTAAAATGAAACAATTAATTTAGTGTGGAAAAATTTTATCAATATAAGAATAAAGTGAGCATCTGTATACTTATCAACAAAACCTTCTATGAATCTGGACTGTATCTTAGCACTTATTCAAGTATCCCTAGCAGCGATTTGTTGAGATGTTGATGGTTGAGTTGGTGAGGTGGTGATCAAGAAACACGAGGTGTGACACTGAGGGTCATGTTTGCGGGCATGGTGTGGATGGGTTGATGGTTGGGCTGGATGATCTTAGTGATCTTTTCCAACCTTAATGATACTGTTTATTTACTATTTATTTGGTATCAAGACAGAAATGCCGTAGTTTGTGAACAGTCAGAATGGAGTGGGAGACTACAGTTTCAATGTAGTTCTCTAACAGATTAATACAAAGAGTAGTGTGAAGAACGTATAATCTGTAGACCACGTTTGTCTAGATTCATGTTGCTTTCATTAATTATCATTATATATATATATAATATAAACATAATATTATATAATTTGCTGCTGCATTTTCTAAAGTAAAATAAATAGCTTCTATAACATGCTGATCATTGGTGGTTTCTGACTGGACACAATAGCTTCAAGTACTGATCCCAGTGAAAGAAGTTAGAAAACTATTCCAGTGCAAAAATCACAACACAGTTCTTTGCTCAATGCAATGCCAAATCTGTGATTCGATACAACATAGAGTGCAATTTTGTAAACATGTTACAGGATGACTGTGTGTGCTGCAATAGGTCTAAAATGAGATGTTACACAACAAACATACCATTTAATAACTCTCTAAGTGGTGCTGTGGTTTGTGCCTGCTGACATCAGGGTCAAACACAGATACTGGTATCCCTTACTGTGTTTTCACTGTAGTTGGTTAAAGGTAATCACCTCAGATAAAAACTGAAATTACATAGTTAAGCAACCTATAAATGCCTGGTATCTTCAACATCTCATTCTTGCCTTTGTCTACAATATTTGGAAATAAAGCTTTTTACTTTTGTGTGTCATTGAGTGACTGGATTTTCATGTTTATTTTTTTTAGGTGGCTTGCCTTATCTCCTGTGCATTAGTTCTTGTGGTGATCTACACGATTGGAGCAATGCTGTACTGGCTGCCCATGGTATGGTACCTATCTTTTTTCTTTAAAGATCACTTCCAGTATTTTATAAAGACTGAGTTTCCTTGTGGGAAAGATGGTATTATATCTGAAGGAACTCTCTTTAACTTCAATGGGACAAAGAATAGCAAGGGTAGAACGTGTCCCAAAATCATAAAATACAGAGCATAATACATGTAGAGTTTATACATATATAGCTTAATATATAGGCTATCACATAGCTATAAAATAAAACATTTCTCTTCTACTCACTTTTGGCATGTAGTTTGTGAGAAATCTACATCCAGATTGTTATGGATGCAGATTGACAGAGCTGAATAGAAATTAATGAAGATCCACAATTTTACTCTAGTAACGCATATGATGTATGATTTTGCTTTTCAAATAAATGTAACACACATGATTGAAGATAGCAATCTCAGCTTAATTAAAGTTGTTTTATCTCTGTCATGGAATGCACCCTTTACATTAAGACTGTAAAGCTGTATTGTCAGTTTTTTTTTTCACCCCTTCCCACCTCCCTGTTGCAAGTCACTTTTTCTCCATCCTTCTTGAGCTCCTGAAGACTTCATCCTTCTCATCTTTTCTGATTTGGAGAACAATAAATTATTGTGCCTGCCACAAAGCTAATCGATGTTGTTGGTTTTTTTTTCCTTTAAAGTCTTTCCCTAGGTGGTTAGAAAGGGGAATTGAATATTTTCACTGTAGAGAATTTGAGTGCTTATTTGCTTTGGAATCCCTCAGACTGTGGTCAAATGTCATTGATCTGGCAACACACACAGAAACTTGGGATGTCTTAAAGTTTCTGTCATTTTCTCATAGTCAGGAGCCTTCTGGAATACCTTCAGGAATGAAAAATTGGTTTTGATACTATTATTGTTGCAACAGAAGAATACTTGTTCTTTATAACATTTTTGAAACACTATCACCAGATTTTCAATAACTTGCTTTTAATATTGATTGCTGGGCTTGAGCAAGAACATTCATCTCCTCTATTAATTCCATAATGAACTTTTTCTTTTTTCTTTTTCCAGTGTGTGCTAGCAAGCATTATCATTGTGGGCTTGAAGGGGATGCTAATGCAGTTCCGTGACTTAAAAAAATATTGGAATGTGGATAAAATAGACTGGGTAAGTGAGACCTAATCTTAGGAGGTTTTCCTGAAAGCCATTAAAAATACTTTCTAGATAAACTGTAATAGTTGTGTGGCCCTAGAAGAGACAATTGCAAGTCACTGTTATTATTATTTTTGTGTATTATCAGCTTAATTTTTGTCTCACAATAGGAGCATCAGAAATATCAATTGTCTGCATCAGAAAAAGCAAAAAGAAACTTTGACAAATGATAAAGATCACAGTTTAATGCTGAAGATGTATACAGATCTGGGCAGATATGTATCTACTTTTGTATTCCTACTCAGGCCAGCTAGCATGCTTTTATTATTGTATCAAAAAGATCTCTGTGTATATCTTTGTTCTCTGTGCATATGGAATGACTGTACAGGACAGAACTGGAAACAATGGAGATGCAGAAAGATGTATGTCCTAAGATGATGTTATTTGCCTCAACTCTTCAAGATTTTGCAAACAGATACAAAAATGTATTCTTTTATCATATGAAAAATTCTGCAGTATGAGGTATGAAATAGAACAGAAAGAGCAGATAGACAGAAAGAAACAGTGTGAAAATACAATTTAATACAAGATCTCAGCAGTCTGACATGCATTTACACAGAATTTCCAGCAAATATTGAAAATGAGTCATGTTTAGGAAGACACCTACTTTTCTCTTCCATGCGAGTTTTGAATGCATTGGTCAGTAAACAGAACCCAGGCCTCTAACTGCTTTCTAGCTTGTATAAACAAAGTGACATCCTGTAGTGATTTTGTAACTCCTGTTTATGCAATTTCAATTAACAAATACTCAGGAAGGTATTTTGGCCCTATTCCCCAGTTCTGTGGTAAGAGGTAAAGGCTTCTGGAGATAATATTGGGTTTTGTTGGACTCTATGGTGATTTAGCATTCTCCTGCAGTAATGGTCCCTCCAGCTGATTAAAACATCTATTTTTTAAATATTTTTGCTGAGTACTGAATTTCAGTGTTGAAAGCAGAGTTGTGTGAGCCTTGATTTGTTCAGGTTTGAGTACCTGATGTTTCTCCCATTCCATGATAGAAGACTAGAGTTATATGTTTTGTGTCAACCAGAAGAAAAGCTCTGTCTTTCATGAAATCTTACACTCCTCAAAAAGCAAAATTCTGAATATATTTTCCTCTACTTGGTCTTCATTCTAACCCAGTGATAAAAACATTGAATGGTGTGTATTGAAAATTATTTTGGGGATAGTGGGCCTCAGAAAATTGATATGAGGGAGCTATAGCTCCTCCAACTATACACTGATTTCATAAGTAAAGTTTTTCAGCAGAATATTCTGCTAGACTTGATGCGTTTTTATAGGTAGAGTAACCTGATTGATTTTTGCTCTTGTGATTTTGACGGAAAAGGATGAGTGAATAGCTATAACATCTCTGGCATCTGTTGTGATTTTTAAGATAGGTTATAGGGAGAGAGAGATTCCTGGGTTTATCTTTTTGACTGAAGATACTTGGAAAATGATTTATCTTCAAGTAGTTGTGCCATCAGTCCATAGCCTGACAGGATAAATCACCTTGCTCTAAACAGTATTAATCTAAAATAAAACTACAAACATTGATCTTACATTGCTGCCTAGGCTGAGGAGCCCCACTAAGTACAGCAATTTGAATTACTTCAGTGGTGTTGATTTTGGCCTGAAAGATTCACCCCAGAACTGAAAGCCTTTTGGAAACAAATCAGTACCGTTACCCAGGTTATCCAGAGCATTTTGAAGAAAAAAAACACTGACGAAACATTTGGAAATAATTAGCAGCTATTCTGGAAATAATTCTTTAAGGGATATGTATTATGTAACATAGAAGACAGGTTTGTTATGCTCATGTGTCTGGCAAATAGCGCATGGAAACGGATCATTACAGTTTTTGTTACCTTGTTCCTTCATACTTAAACTTCTTAATGAACATGAACAGCATGAATAATACTTAGTGTTTGATTAGTGATTTATACAACATAATCCTTTGACATATAAAAAGTAGCTTGAAATCTCTCAATTCAGCACGTATTGCATTTTCTTGTAGATTTAATGTTTTGAAGCAGCCAAGTTTGAAGGAACAGGCTGATACAATATGTTATCAGCTTAATATTACTACATATATTTGTTTCAGTTTTCTTTCAATGTGTTTATCAGCCCTCGGGAATATCCTGTTTTTACATCTCATCTCTCAAATCACGTTAATTTCTTTCCAGCTAGAATCCCACGGTTCTTGCTCCAGAGTCCTTTTCTGTCACTCACATGAAGGTCTCTTTTTTCAGTGAAAGTTTTCTGTCAGTCCCAGCACCTTCTTAGATTACGTCAGTCATTTCAGATCTAAGCTTCCTCTTTTCCACTGATATTTATTGTAAAAGAACTGTACATATTCATAACTGTATGCAATACAGCATTTCTCCTTCCTCTGATGTCTTCGTATTTTGGATGCTTCCAAGGTGTTGTTCCCTGAATTATCTGTGTTTTGTACACTGACCTGGAAATGACTTCTCTGGAATTTTTCATCTTTTTTGGGGAACTACCAAAAAGTTGATCTGGACTTCTTAAGTGTATCTCTCTTTTCATGTTATCAATTCAAGAATTGATTTCAATATCCTTCCTGAAGCCTAATTTCTTCTTGCTAAATAAGTTCCCCCTTTGTAAGGGAAAAGGTCAGTAATGTTCTTGTTATGTTATGTTCTTAAGACTGAAAGTCCCAAATGAACAGCAGCTATTTAAACTAGACAAAGACAGATAAAGGAGTGCCAAAGAAAAATATTATTTTGCGGTTAACTGTTGGACTTAGAAATGACCAAATGCAGGGAAAAGTATTTCAGTTAAACAACTATATAAAAGAGATTTAGAATATTCAACAGAGAAACATTACTGCATTTAAAGAGAAAAAATATTAGAAATTAGAATCATAGAATCATTAAGGTTGGAAAGACCACTAAGATCATCTAATCCAACTAGAACGCATGCCTGTGAGTGCTCTAGACCATGTCACTTTGTTAGTGACCTTTTCTTGAAAACCTCCGGGGATGGTGACTCTACCACCTTCCTGGGCAACCTGTTCCAATGTCTCACCACTGTTTTGGAGAATAAATTTTTCTCAGTATCCAACCTGAACCTCCCCTGGTGCAACTTCGGGACATTACCTCTCATCCTATTGCTCTTACCTGGGAAAAGAGGCTGAACTCAAAATCATCACAACCACCTTTCAGGTCATTGTAGAGAGTGATAAGGTCTCCCCTGAGCCTCCTCTTCTCCCGACTAAACAACCACAGCTCTTTTGGCCACTCCCTGTTAGACTTGTGCCCTCACCAACTTCATTATCTTTTTCTGGACACACTCCAGGGCTTTAATGTTTTTCTTACACTGAGGGACCCAAAACCAAACACATTACTGAAGGTGCAGTCTCCCCAGCGCTGAGTACAGATGAATGGTTACCTCTCTGCTTCTGCTGGCAACTCTATTTCTTATACAAGCCACGATGCCATTGGCCTTCTTGGCCACTTGGGTACTGCTGGCTCATGTTCAGCCAGCTACTAACACTCTCAAATACTTTTTCTCCATGCAGCTTTCCAGCCAGTGTGCCCAAAGCCTGCAGCAATGCATTTTGTAACAAATGCTTTTTTGTAACTGAAGTGCAGGACTCAGCACTTGTTCTTGTTAAAGCTCATAAAATTGGCCTCAGCCCAGCAAGGCAGCCTATCAAGGTCCCTCTGAAGGGCCTTCCTACCCCCAGACAGATTGACACTTTCTCCCAGTTTGGTGTCATCTGCAATCTCAATGCCCTCATCCAGGTTGCCAATAGAGGTATTGAACAGGTCAGGCCCCAGTACCATCCCCTGGAGAGAACTACTCATGACCAGTCACCAACTGGTTTTAACTTCATTCACCACCACTCTCTGGGCCCATCCATCCAGCCAGAATTTTTATCCAGCAAAGAGTACAGCTGTTCAGGCCAGGAATTGCCTTCTTCTCTGGGATAATACTGGATATGTCATTGCCTGATACTGTCATTTTTCTCCGTGAAAGCTCTTTGTTTCAACCTCCACTTTAAATTATCACTGTTGTCTTCTATGCCATCTATAAATTTACTTAAAACACTTTACTTATCTGTAATGTGCAGAAAAACTTAGACCATGTGCAGCAAGAAAAAAGCCCAACAAGGTTTTCTACCAGCACTCTCACTGTATGAGTGAGTCGGTCAGGAAATGACCACAGCTAAGATAGAGTTAAAAGCAGACTTGTAAAAGCAGAAAGAATAGGAACAATTTATTGTAAAAATTACACATTCCTTTTGTGATACCATGATGTGAGAGGTACTTATGGATGCATTAATTGCATATGTATGCATATATTTTAATTTGTAAGGGGTATAATGAATGATACTAAAAACAATTAAGGTAGTGACAAGGTGGGGCTTAGTTTTGACAAGTGCCATTTAGCATCTTTCCAGAGAGGGTTTTCCAACACAAAGCCACCAACCTGTCAAACAATTTTGTCAAAATGGATTGGAGTAGGAAGAATAGGGAAGGTCTTTCATGAAATTTTGGAGCCCACCGGTGTAATTTCATGTATTTTAAAACATTTTAACATTTTATCCTCATGAGGGAGATAGCCTTTTAGGTTTGTTCAGGTATTCAATATGGTGGGGCCCTTCTTCTTGAGAATGCTCAGAAGGCTTTGCTCTATAAACATTTTTTTACCGAGTAGCAAGCAAGCCAACTCTTCTATGATAATAATTTTACATGAATGCTTCTAAGTTATGGCATACTAGGGAGATTTTTTATCCCTCCAGCATTAGCAGACATGCTGCCCTGAGTTACATTACTTTTGCGGTAGCTAGTTTGAGTTGGATGGGAAGGGGTTTAAAAGTGCTTAATACATTGAGAGTGTGATTGCCTTAGAAATTTGTTTTAATTAACAATATTTATATCAGTCCATCTGTCTCCAGGGCAGTCAGTACAAACAGATACCCTCTCCAACTCTTGAGTATGGAATGCTTATGAAAATTATGCTAAAGTATCATACTCTACTATTAAGCATTTCCTGTTGTATCACTGCAGTGGACTTCACTTGAGTGCTTGAATACTGAATTTTGGTGCAGGGTACTCTGAGGAGCGTATGCATACATCAGTCATTTGTTTGGAGAAGGACTTTGGAGCATGGGTGTGCTACACAGCCTCCTTGCAGTCTGAGCTTACTCCTGAACTCCAGCACCTTCTCTGCCAAGGAAAATGCTGAATGAACAGGACTTTGATAGGATTCCCCTGGCTACATGCTGGTGATTGCAGTGTTGGAGCAACTCTTCACAGCCTCACAGTACAAATACTGAAAGGCTGGTCAGTGAAGCCATGTTAGGATATGATTCATCTCTTCCTAAACTAGGCACCAATGTAACCAGGTAGGGTTATTCTGAATTCCCCTCACTGATGAGCAAATCTCTTTTGATCATAGATCTAGATCATTTAGACTGCTCACTCAGCTGTAGACATGTATTCTGGAGATAGCTAATGTTAAGTGAAATGAGTCATACCTATACAGGCAATAGTTGTTCATCTCATTTTACAATAAGCAGTCCATTATCAGTTTTCAAAGTGGTACAGACACATTGAGTATCACAGTATTTTAGTATTACAGTTTAGTCATTGATTTAGAGAGTATTCTCTCATTTCTCCTATTTATATTCTTTTTTTTTTCCCACCCAGACCCTATTGCAGATTCCCCTCAATGGTGTATTTGTAGATCCTATGAAATTGAAAGTTCTAAGTGGAAACACTGCCTACAGATTTCAGAGAGTTGCTACATGTATGCAGTCATAGCATCTCCCAATACTTCTGATAATTTCTGGTGTATGAAGGATTCAACATAAATCTGTATCTTCCACTTGTTTTTCTCCCTTTAGAATATTTTCAATTTATATAGTACAAGCATATTTTTAAGTTGGATTTTGTTTTGATTTTGGAGAATAGCACATACCTACAATACATTATCTCTAAGATTTGAAGAATGAAGTGGCTAGATTCTATCTGTCCTGAAGTATGTACTGACCGTATTGAAGTAAGAAACTTTTTATGTTTTTATGACTTCTTTGTTGAACCTTACATGAATTAAAAAAAATGTCTAGCAGATCAACATTTTCCTACAAATCTGATGATGCTCTACCTAAAAAATACTCACTCAAGGCCAATATAAATCACTGTAGTGTGATTGGCAAATGAGAATATGATTGTTTTGGCTCATATTATGTAAAATGGCAATCTCTGGATACAGTTAAAATGTCAGATACTAATGTCTGTTAAAGGGGCTCTCAACGAGTTTTCTCAGCATTCAGCAGTACTGAAAAATTCTGGGTTTGATTTTTCCTGTGTAGGCTTTCTACTTGGATTTTATCCTTCCTTTCTTTCTCAAGACACTAAGAACAATGCTGAAAGTCATGCAGCTGAGATTTAATTAGATGTGATATCGAGAATAATGTGATGACAAAGCTGTGCAGTAGAAGCAGATTGCTTGGTGTCAGGCTTTGTCAAATGTTCATCCTTACCAGAATTCTTGATCCAAATGAATTTGAAGTTCGTAGTTCTTATGATAGCCCTTTCATATTCAGAAAGCTTCTCAGCAACTGTGTAATGGCTTTGTAAGTTGTAGGATGAATTTTGTATTGATTAGTCAGAACTCAACATTTGTAATTCAGGAAGGTATTCTTTGCAAATATTTACACAATAATTTGTATAAGATCTCATTTTAAGATATTGCTGGAGACTGAGAACTGTTTCAATGAATGAGCCACCTCTTTCCTCCGCATCTGGATTGAGGAGACTGCAAAACATTTTGCAGCCATTAAGAATTTTGAAGACAGGAGAGGAAAAGCTTACTCAATAGATTCGTGTAGCCCCTCTGTGCATCATGAAGCATGAACTAGTACAGTATGGCTTACATTTTACAATTCATAAAATAACAGTTCTGAAATCTTCTTGAGCAAAATTCCTGCAGTTAGGCTGAAAGTATGCTGTTGTCTCTGGCTTTCCTAAGCTCAGTGAAAACATCAGAAAGGATAATTTTAACAGCAATTTGTGCCATTGCAGTGCAATCTGTTCCTGTGCAAACGTTATCAGAAAGTGCTGTAATGGTTGAAATGGACACCTGTGGAGAACAATATATTCACAGAAGTGAAAATACTTTCCATTCTTCTTTAACACTTTTTATTTGAAGATAAGGTGGCAGTCTTTGCTGAAGGATCCCTCAGGCAAAGAAATATGTGCTGGATATCCTTGACATCAGGGCTATATAAGAAATCAAGTCAGTTATACTTTTCTCCTTTTAATGTAAAAATCTGGATATCTCTATGTCACATACAGCATTATGGGATGGAAATATGAGTAATCTTTTCTGCTTAAAAATAAATTAAGACAATTTTTTGAAATGTAAACATTTCTTCTTCTTAACATTTAAAATTCCTTTCTGAAGCACATTTTGTTCCCGATATTCTTTGCATTTTTTAAAAAACTTAAATTTAAAATAAATTCAAAGTGTTGCTAATCAAACATTGAAAGACGGGGAAGCAATCTGAAAACTCACCATTTTAATGTCAACTGATTCATTCCTCAATAATTTTTAATTGTTATAGAGTTGGTTTAGTCAGCTGTACTCTGATAAATGCCACTTCTGATTAACTTCCTTGCAAATTATAATTCCCACTTAGGTAATTAGTGCGAGAAGAGCTCTCTGTGTGTGACCTTTAGAGTACTTCATTGTGTAAAAGGGAAGAAGGATTTTAGCTGTGTGCTGCAAAGAAGGTAGCAATAGCTTGCAATGTGAATAATCAATTATAGTTTTAACCAACCAACCTAGTTCATTTCAAATTAAGCTGCTACCACAACTACTTGTACTATTTTAAGGACCTCCAGAATGATCTTCTGTGAGCATCAGGAAGAGCAGGATGTCCTGTTACACGTGTTCTTCTGTGGAGAGATGCTGTTTTGATGATAACTCAGATACTTGCCAGTTCAAATATCTAAATGTTCACCTCTCAGAAACTATTGGTTTTTTTTATTTCTAACTCATAAGATGTACATCATTACAAAATGATCATCTAATCGTCTCTTTCTGTTTCCCTCCTTAAAGAGCATATGGGTTACTACCTACATGTTCACAATCTGCTTTGCTGCTAACGTGGGATTGTTGTATGGTGTTGTCTGCACGATAGTAATTGTGATTTTCCGCTTTCCCAGGTGAGATGTAATTTATTGAAATGTTCTAGTAGCACATAATTATGTCTTCTTTCTGGAACACTGCTTCACTGTTGGGATATACCTACACTACACTAAATTTAAAGGTGAAATCTCAGTTTTCAGTTGTACAGAATGCCGGGATGGCTGAGGTTGGAAGGGACATCTGGAAGCCATCTGGTCTCCAATTCCTGCCCAGGCAGATATGTACTACCACCTAGTAGTACGTATCTCTTTCACTCACTAGGTGAAAGTAGCACAAAGTCATCAGGATAGCCAACAAAACATTTTTCTTTCATTTCATACTCTTACTCGTGAAGAATATTTCTGACAAGACTTAGTAACAAAGCTCCTTTATCAACTCCTAGATTCTGCATTGCACAGGAGTTGCAAGCTGATGTTTGCCTTGCTAAAATACATTAATGAAAGATAATTACATGACATTCTCTAATGCCTGAAATTTGCTTTATAGATCCCATCTATGAATTAGAGAAGTCAGGATGAAGTATCTAGAGCTGAAACAAATTCAGATATTCTTTTTTCATATATTACAGTTGCTAATTTTGATTAAGAGTAAAGGAAAAACATCGTTTGGGGTTTATGATCATTTCATACTACAGAATTAATCCTTAACTCACCAGTCCTATGAATGACTTGCTGCCTGCAGGCAGCTGTTTGCAAGAGCATTTAATTGCACAGGAATTAAATACAATATAGACAGCTCGATTAAATGCTTGTTAAAGTTATGCAGAGCTCTGTTCTTACAGAATAATTTGCAGAATCAGCGTGAAAATAGCTCAAAATTGCAAATTATAGCAAATGGTTTCTGCTTGAAACAGTCAGAACCTTACTGGTAACCCCCTGCTGCTCAGAAAACTATTGGTAAATTCTTCTAATAAAGAAAAGTTTCCATGTTATTTACACATTTGGATGTCTGTTGATCTGCAACAGAAAAGAGAGGGATATTTGAAAAGTAGGATCCTCTGTTGTCCAACCAAAACCTCAATCTGAACCTGCACTAGTTAACTAAGTAATACTCTTTCCATTGATTTATGTGGTCTTCCATCAGGTTGTACAGGATTGTCCATGCAATTTAAGGGCATCAAAAGAGCTTACAACCTTAAAAACTGTACTGCACAGGTGAGGTTATCATGAGAATATGCAGTAAGTCAGCCAGGCATGGCCAAAAGTGTCCTGACTAATGACTGTTGCAAAAGATTTAGAAGCTAAAGCATGAAAAATAACTTGATGATTTATTGTGAAATCTCTGTTCAGACACCAGAGTACTGGACATGGTATGTTACATATCAAGATGCATTAAAAACAGCAGCAGCTACAGTAAGATTTATGCAGACAAGAAAGAACAGCTGAGTTTTGCAAGCCTCATTTAGCCAACCCCAGTACTTGCAAATACTCCCTGTGCATTGCCTTGTCTAGTTCTGGGTTTACTCTCATTGCCTAGCTTTAGGCACAGATCTCAGATGACAGCTAGCTTTATAGACTTCTTGTTCTGCACTTTAATGCATTCCTGCAAAGGATGTATGGATGCAGAAAGTCCTATAAAAACTGCCTGTTCAAGGCAACTTTCCGCTGACCATATAGAGAGCATAGGGACACTGTTTTTTCCAACTGAGTCCTCCACTTTGACAGCTAGAGTGCAGCGTTCTGCTTTGTAGTACAGACAGGCACCAGTTTTAACTACTAATAAATCATCCTTAAAGTTTAAAGGTAGAAAATGTTAATTAAATCTCTGAACTTTTGAAGTGGTAGTTTATGTATTAGCTGCCTTGATTTGAGACTAGCTCTCTGGCCAGATTTAAAATGGTAATGAAAACTAAAATAAAGATTTTATTATTTGCAGTTGAATAAAATAAAATTCTATTAGATTTTCAAAGTGATCTGCTGTAATTCTGAAATTTGCCATTTACTCTTTTGACTGCATTATCATTATGATAAATAAGCTTTATAAGCAGAAAAAATACATATGCAGAAAAATATATATGGATAGCATTGTCATGGAATCAGAATAGTTTGAGTTGGAAGATATCTTAGAAATGATCTTGTTCCAACCACCCTGCCATGGGCAGGGACACCTCCCTCTAGACCATGTTGCTCACAGTCCCATCCAGCCCAGCCTTGTATGCTTCCAGGGAGGGGGCATCCACCAGCTCACTGCGCAACCTGTTCCAGTGTTCCTGTTCCTGTTCCACCCCCACAGTAAAGAATGTCTTCCTAATATCTAGTCTAAATCTGCCCCCTTCCAGTTTAAAGCTGTTTCCCCTCATCCTGTTGCTACCTGCCCTTAGAAAAAGTCCCTCCCCAGCTCTCCTGTAGGTCCCTTTCAGGTACTGGAAGGCTGCAATGAGGTCCCCCCAGAGCCTTCTCTTCTCCAGGCTGAAAAGCCCCAGCTCTCTGCCTGTCCCATAGGGGAGGTGCTCCAGCCCTCTGATCATTAAATAATTGTCATAATTGTCATACATTTAAACTTCTGTGTTACAGTTTTGGGGTATCTTGCTCTATCTGTTCATGTCTACTAATGATTTGACTCACATATTTTCTGTATGTATTGATTACAGAGCAAAGACACTGAATTTGAAAAATATGAAAGAAGTGGAATATAAATACAAAACTGAAGATAATTGTGTAAGTTAAATCCAACCTCCCTCTTTTTTTTTTTTTTCTTTTCTTTTCTTTTTTTTTTCTCTGTGTCGTCCTAATTAAGGCTTGTTTGTCTTCTGTAGTTGGTTACCAGATTATAATCAGTGTGTCCTTTCTTATGAAAGGGCACTTCAAAACTAAAGCCAGGGTGACATAGTGAATAGAAAAGTAGCCTTGAATCTCAGGGAATTGGACAGCTCTTTCTATGTTCCTGTCAGATTTCCTCATTTCCTGAAAGTTCTTTGGTACCCCCACCATCCACTATCTCTTTTCTGCTCCTGACACTGCCACCAGCCCCAGTGAGGAGGCAGAGGAGGCCATGTGTGAGAGGCAGCATCATGAAGTGATGAAGCTGCTTCATGCACCTCGCTTCTCAGGCAAGTGTATGCTCATGTGATAAGTGGATGTAAGCATTTCTCCGGAAGACTGTGATGTTTAAATTTGCTTTGTACAAACTTAAACCTACCAACCAGAAGTTTTAAATTCCTTTGGTCATTTTCACTACAATTACCATCAGAGCTGCTTGTGGTCAAGCCTGTGGTAAGAAGAAATGGGTAACAACCCAGAGAGGTGACCTCCCTTCTCCAAAATGAAGCTTTAGATCAATAGCCAACAGAAAAGTGGAACCATGTGTCCTACCAGCACAGAGTCCAGTCACTGGGACATCCTGAGCTCTCCATCATGACAGTTTCTGTTGTGTCTGCTTTCCTTTCCTAATAACTGTGAAGGGTCAAATGTAATATGTTCACAGTTATTACCTGTTATTTTTAAGAAGCTCTCTTCTAAATATTCTTTTTCTGGCAAATGTTTTCTATCAGAGCTATCTGGGGCTCAACATTCAAGCTTGGATTGGGTGGTTTTACTGTTCTGGCATGCTGAACAATGCTGGAATGTGAGAGGCACATAAGAATGGAGGGTACTCTAAAACATAAATTTAAGACACTGTTATTGAGGCTGGCCCAATTGTCAATTATTATTATATCACTTTTCATTCTTGAGGAAACTGTTAGAATAACTTTGTCAGAGATGGGCTACCAAAATTTGCCTGCTTTTATTTTTTATTTGCTTTTGTATCAATTCATACAGTATTTGTACAAATCCCTGTGCATCTTTTTTTTTTTTTTTTTTTTTTTTTTTTTAAGCTAACTACTCCCCAGCTTCTTAATCATTAAGATTAATGCCAGCCACCAAGTAATAACAAACTAGTGTCTGCAGGCACTGGGGAAAATAACATTTTGTTAAGAAAGCAAATTGCTCAAGAGCTTATTATACAAATAAAGGAAAATATTTTTAAGATTTATAAAAAATGCTTTTAATTTAATTTATGGAGCCACTGGGTTGCAGCAGTCATTTAGGGTAATTTTTAATGTATGTATGTTAGAGTTATCCATGTTCCTCTGGTAAATAACAGCTTAGACATAAGTAACAGAGCTTTTTAAACACAAAAATATGCAAGCTTAATGATCTACCCTGCCATTACAGTCTGTGGATTTATAGGGATTATTTCATCCGTAGGAGAAAAGACACTTTAATGTGGAAAAAAATCAAGAGGGTATTTAGAAGCTTCTGTAAAACAAATTGCATCACAGGAATTCACTGACATGAATTCTTATCCAAACATAGAGAGAGCTGTGCAGGACATGAGGCTATTGTAAGCATCCTAAGTGATAGAGGGAATAAGCCACCCATAATGACCATGGGGCAAGAACATGACAAAAAAGAAATGCATTTTTCTTAGAACTGTTCTTCTTAAGACAAGAGCTAGAACTCAACTTGAGTCAAGAATAACTGAGTCAAATTTGGGTTGCCCATTCTAGGCAGAAGGTTATACCTAAGTCTCCCTTCTGCTTGAATGTGTTTCAGCAGATAGCCTTTCTCTTGCAGAGGTATTTGATTCTATGATTCTACAGTTTGAATCTTTCCCATCTTTCACCTTTTTGATCACCAGAGACTTTGATCTTTGCACATCTTTTTATTTTTCTTTTATTTTTATCTTCTACTTGGTCAGCTCTGTTATGGCACCGAAGTTCTCACTTGTCTCCACACCAAGCTCTGTGTAGGATAGTTTTTAAGGGAACCTGTAGGATTTCAGATTATTTCTGCATTCAACCATGTATTGCTCTCTGTTTTGTCCCTGTTTTAGAGCCTGGTTTTCATACAATTTTGGCCATTTTAATTGCCAGTTAAGCTTTGTCATTTGACTGACTTTTTTGGTGTTGTGATGTTCACCATAATCAGATTCAAAGGTAAACTGTACAAATCACAATATGTAGACTGGGCTTCACTGCCACAGTTTTGGATGTTTGAAATGTTTAAGTCTGTATGATGGCTGCTGCGGTGGTGTCCAAGAGATTGCCATGTTCCCAGAAGTCTGAATAATAGCTTGCAGTGAGGAGGTAGTTAGTGTGGTTTGTGGTAAAGATTTCCAGTCCTATTTTGCTTGAAGGTCTGTTGGGAAAATTGTTTCTTCAATGCAATCCCATGCTTCTTTGAACGACTACACAAGTGGTCTCTGTGTCAACTCCACTTACTTCTGTTTGAGTATGGCCTAGTTAAGTAACTTTAAATGTCTCTGACTTTTGTTAGGAAGAATTGAAACTTTTGGAGCTTATATTCTCTTTCGAAATCTCTGAGATTTTTATCTCTTTGTTTGTTTTTTTTTTAACTTCTGATTACTCGTTGTCATGAGCAGTTCATTTTGGGGAGCTGACACTTGCATAAATTAGATTATTTTTTTTGGTAGTGAAAACTATTTCAGTAGTGAAAATAAATATTGAGATTTTTTACCGTTTTACTTTTAATGTTCAGTTGTGGATTCAAGGATCCTATTTTTCCATCATCTGCTTGCAAAACGCTCTGAACTTTCACAAATAATCTTGAGATCCCCTACCTCCATGAAAGACACACCTAAAAGGCAAATTAATTCTACTGTGTTTTTTCCAACTGGGCCATATTAGTAGTTATTATGGCTATTTAAAGATCTTTGGTTGTGTGCCAGTTGGGTAGAAAATGCTCCTGAAAATACTGGTAAGCTTTACGGGCTATACATGATCCTTCTTATTTCTAATTTGAGCACTAGATGCATAAAAACTTAATACAGTTATTTATTTGAATATAATCAAATAACATTATAAATAAATGTAGTATCTTTTACTAGATAAGATAATACACTTGGAAAAGCAGAAGACTTTAACAGCCAACAGACCTTTCCTCAAGTCTGAAATGCAAGAAGCAGACACCAAAGCAAGTGAGAGCTGCTGCACAATGAGTTAGGTCCATCTCAAATAGTGACAGAGAGGAAGTATTTGGTATCTATGATACCATATATGATTATTTCCTAAGGAAAAGAGATGCACAGTGTATAACCTGTGGAAAGTGGATATATCACTAGAATTAGGTTAATTCTGTCCACTTACAAAAGCTGCATCTCAATTAAGCTAGTGATGATAATACCCAATATAATATATTTTTATATATATATGAGGGCTGCTCTGAAAGTAATGCCTTCTCTTTTATTATGTTGGCCCACAGTGTCAGAGGCTAATTTTGGTGATAGTAGAGGCTGAACCTTCCCACCAGTATTCCATTACATTTTGTTGTCATGTGACAGATGGCAGCAGAGGGGCAACGTGGCATCAGACTTGGAAGTGCAGATGAAGCAAAGATATATCACTGAATTCCTTCGTGCAGAAAAAATGGCACACACTGACATTCATTGATGCTTTCTCAATGCTTATGGAGACCAAACAATGAATATTAGCACAATGACTGTGTGGGCAGTGTTTTCCTAAGAATGACACTCACATAGACATCTGTGAAATGATGGGTCACTTCTGCTGGTGCAGTTTTTTGCAAGCACAGCATGCAGGCTCTTGTTCATTTCTGGTGAAAATGCATAGATAATTGTGGTGACTACGTTAAAAAATAGGTTTTTTACCTGAGAGTTTGCTCTATCAAATAGCATTATTGTGCTCTTTGTATCTTTTGTAGTTTCCATGGAAATAAATAGGAGTATTCCTTTCAGAGCAACCCACATACCTATACACATTATTACTAGCTTTTGACAGTGTTTTATAAGTTCACCTTAAGAACAAGAGAAAAATTGCTTATTTTGTGGGAAATGTTCTTCCTTGGTAGCTGGGCGTTTCTGACTTTTGTCTGTTTTCCTTCATTATTTGTTCTGGTGTGTAACAGCTGTGCTTTGAGTTACAGTTTCAGTGATGTTTGGATGAAACTTTTTAGGAAAAAAATGCAAAGACAGGATCCAGAGTAGCTGATGGTTCTTTGTGTGCACTAGCTATGTTAAAATGTGTCCCTCAGACTAAGTCTGGATCCAGTTGGTACAAGTAGGACCATTACGAATTTGCACTTGCTCAAGAGCTCGATGAGGTGAGATTGGCTCCAGGAAGATTTTTTTCCCAGGCAGGAGCTTCAGCTATTAGCTGTACCTGTAAACGATTCCCAGCTCTAGCTCAGGGAGCTATGAGAACAGGGTTGCAGGGTTGGTGGGATTTCCCTCCACTACTAAAGTCAGTGCTGGCTTTTTTCATTTCCATGGAGAAATATGCCTGTTGTACTATGATAGTCCTCAGGAGTCTGAGGTTAACATTATGAGTGTTCCCCAGACCAGACACAGTGTATACTCCCAAATTTTGTCTAATTTTTCCAGTACATATATTTGCTCTATAGAGGATGTTCCCAGTCTGCAACCCTTGTCTTGTCTGTGTCTACAGATTATGTCAACTGAAATAGTGCTCCTTCCATTTGCCTGATGATAGTTCTTGATACTGTGCTTTGTAATGAATGTGATTTTGCTTTTGTGTTAACTTGAATTACGGATAATTTTCCTTGTAGATTTCTTATTTCCTCCTTAAGTCCAGTTGCATCAAAGCTGATCAAGGCAGCTATCTGTTAACATCCTCACAACACAAAGTTAATTCTGGATTGATTTACAGGAATTATCAGGATTTTTAAAGAAATCACTTTTATTTATATATATTTCCAAAATGAAGATAAACTTTGCAGCGTTTTGTTTATTTCACTCCACAGGAATCATTAAAACAGGTAACCGTAGTTTCAGTCAGCAACCCATTAGTCTTTCTCAACGCCAGAAAGTTTCATGCAGACCTGATGAAGATAATCCAGAAGGACAGCATGAGCAGCCAGGCACGTGAAGATGTAAACAAGGTAGGATGTGCTACATGCTTCAGTTATCATGGTGACAGTACTGAAGTTCATGATTACTTTCCCTGCATTTTGTAGAGAATGCCATCAGATGCTGAAAAAGATTTTTTTTGTTTAAAGATAATGTTGCAAATGATTGATTTAGGATTAAATTTAGTTAATCTAATTTTAATCAGAATAAATACATATTTTTTCTTATAATTACATGAAAATATTTTTTCTCTGTTATCTCTCTCCGTATGGTCCTGTAAAAGACCATAAAGGACTTATAATTGCAATAGAATTAGAAAAACAGTACAAATAGATTCAAGTTTTCCTCTAAGATAATGTTCTTTTCCATTTTCTATACTATTAGTATTGGAAAGCAAATAGCACACAAAAAAATTACTTGTTTTTTGGAAAATGTCCCAGAAAAGGTCGTTTTTTTTAGGTTTATTTGCACACAACTACTGCACATTCCTACAATGTTCCCTAAAAGGGAAAAAAAATACACATTATTCTTTCTATCATTACAATGAAAGCATTTCAGTACAATAAGATAAAAGGCTAACTGTAGCCGAATTCATCCAGTTTGATGAACTGGACTGAGGAAACCACAGCCATTTCCTAAATGGGTTGTTAATAATTAAGAACTGAATAATCACAGAATGATTGAATGGCCTGGATTGAAAAGGGCCGTAATGGTCCACAACCTGTGCAGTTGCCTGCTGAAGAGCTGTGCTGCCAATACCTATTCTTCATTGTTAAGAAATTCAGCTCTGAAATTTTGCTGCTTTTCCCCTTGGTTCTGTTAGCTAAACTGATTAGTATGATTAAAAAAACCCTCTAAATTGACAGATATTAATTAGGATTTGCACTGGATTAATTTATTCATTAATTTAATAAGATAGCAAGTTAATAAGTTAATTTAGAAGTTTATTTATATGTTAGTAAGGAGGGAATTGTTATCCTTTGTCTATTCTAGAAGTTACTTGGCAATGCAGCTACCTGAAATACAGTGCATAGTGTATGGTACCTGTGTGGAATAACTGTCTTTCTATCAAACACAATGGAAGTGAAAAAAATTGTGGTTTGAATTTTGTTTCTGTGCTGTATTTCTCTTATATTGACAACACTCATGTGGAAATCATTATAAAAACATTATCTGGATAAAGGTAACTTGTTAATAACTTTGTGTGTCAGAATTGTTCTCACAAAAATCTAAATGAGATTTCATCATGTAGAATGTGAGTCAGAAGCTAATCTTATAACATTTCTATCAAAAGCAAAATTTTAGTTACAAGCATTAGAGTGGATCCAGACATCATAGAGACTGAGTTGTGTGGGAAAAAAAAAGGGGGGGGAGACATCTACTTGATAGGTCTTTAGAAAAATAATGAAGGTCTTACTCAGCAAATATATCCAATAGACTGTTGCATACAATCTGATTTTGAGAGAAGGAGTTAACTTTGATATAGAGAAACAGAATTCTTGTGTATTGCACTGATTTTCTTTGGTTACTCTGCATCGGATTCGTTTTCCTTGGTATGCTAATTGTTCATTGCTTTTATTTCAGTGTGAGCAGAACACATTACTCTGCTCATTTTCCAATGGAGGTTGTCATGGTGAGTTTGTTATCTATACATTATATTAAAACCAGGATGGATGTAAGTGCAAAATAGCTCCAGATTTTTCTATTTATTTCTAGGCGAATTCAAATTGTCTGGCAACTTATACTGTTTCAGATAGATCACACATTCAGTGAAGCATGAGTTCTAACAACTGTTAAACTCCATTAACCTTGGCCTAATGGTCTAACGGTCTAATGGTCTTGGCCTAATGGTTTTATTCTGTTCTTGACTGACTTTTTAAGATTTCAAAAGAGAGGAACCAATGAAAATACATTTTCTGTAGGAGTCTCTTATTTCACACAAATCACTGTATGCATACTGCTTCAGGTATGGAGTGGGAGCGTCACTAAGAACATTGCTACCTTCCTTGGTCTTCAGCCAAGGCCTAATAAACCACTTTGTTAAGCTCTGCTCCTGAGTTGTTTTTAGTTCACGGTGAGACTTGGACATTACTATGCAAAACTAAAAATAGGATGGGATGAGAACCATGCGAAGTCTTTGTGGTCTTTGAAAGCACTGAAGAGAAAAACTCAATAAATGTCAGTTGAACAATCAGTGACACTATGGCCACCAGTGCAGTACAGTATAACACAGTTTGCTTTCAATTAGGGATTATGCTGAATGATTCTACTCATCCCACAATTTATTGGGCTTAAATCAAACCAGAGCACACACATTCCCCTGGGACCGCTGCAACAACCTTTTGCAGAAGATACTTTATACAGATGACTTCATTGTGGAGGGAATTCCAGTGCAGTGTTTATTTAAAACACGTACAAGCACTGAGACCTCAGTAGGGAATCTGATCTGGGGGCTGTTTTCTGACAGTTCACACTTATTAACTAGGCTCATGACATTTTTATGATATTGCAGTGTTTACTTTACTTGGGTGTGATAGAATGCTTTCTGCAACACGCAGTAACGCAATGACGATGGCTCTTGAGGACTATACAGTGCTGTACTGTAAAACGGTAAATAAGTGAACAGCACTGGATTTGTGAAAAGTCTTTTGGAAGGTCTTGTCAGTATGCATTTCAGTCTTCATTTGAATAAGTTGGTTTCTTATGTTACAGAAATGACAGACAAAGGAACTTATTTTTGGTTTCCCTGAGGACTTAATTGTTATGTGTTATACTGAGCAGAATAGGGTGACTCTTCATGGGAACTTAAAACAAAAACTGGAGAGAAAAAAAGAAAAAGAAAAATCCCTTTCAAAGGGTAATAAAACAAGGGGCTTGAATTTTTAGGAAGGGGGGGAAAGGAAGACATAATCCTTATTCACACAGCAGTCATCTTGGAAAGCATGGCAGCTTTCTCCAATCTTTCCCTTCTACCTTTAGGGAATACTGATTTGACATTGTCTGTATCAGCACGATGTTAAATAGCTTCTGCTGCCTTTGCCCAATTGTTCAGAGAAGCAATAGGTCGGTACCTGCAACCCCTCCACTGAAATGCAGGATGCCAGCTGGGTGGGAGAGTAATGCAAGATCAGCACTGCCTCTGTATATGCATTTGTACATGTGTGAGCGTGACTTGAGCTTCACAAGGTTTGTCAAGATTTCTGAGCATAATAATACTAGAATTTTTTCATGTTGTGCCAGTCTAACATCAGCTAAGCACAGTTCATGTGTAAGGTGATCTCAGCTTCTGTGCTGGGATGCAACATTTCTAGGCTAAAGCAATTTGTATTGTTATCCTTCTGTCTTTTCCTATTCATTTCCTTTTCTATTTCTTATTTTTTCTGCTATTCTGAAGTAAATTATGTGCTATTACATTTATTCAAAATCTATTATTGAACTGTCAAACATTGTTTTATGTAAGCAGTGTAACAACCAAAAAGGGAAAATCAACCCCAGGGCATTTTTTAAAGTAAAACTTTTGGAACCTGCAGATGGAATTGTGTATGTGCTTTGTGAGGGAATAAGTAACAGAGATAAAAGGTTCTTCTGTTTTGGAAACAAAGGAGGTGTGTAGAAAAGATGACAGTGAGTAGCCCAGCAGATCTCATAAATCCTTCCTGGGTTTCCACTACAGTAATGCCAGTCTGCAGGTTTCCTTTGAAATTCCTTATTTTGTTTGCAGTGCATTTCTTCATGTATGCTGGATGGCAAATCTCTGGAGGTGCAAATCCAAAAGGCTCTGACTCTCAGACTCCTGTCAGAAAGGAATTAGCACCATTATAAATCTACTCGACAGGGAAATACTACACCCCTCCAGGATTTTAAAGTCTTTTCCTCTGCTACCTCAAAACCATGTCTATTAACCTATCTTTGCATTCAAAATAACTCTCCTTTTTTGAGTTTTATGTTTTATGATAACTGATATTAAAGCTGTTATTTGTCCACAGAGCAGTGTAAATAAGATGTACATTATTTTCTTGTCTTCCTTTTATGAAAGCCAGGAATCATCTATGTGCTAGTTCAGGACACACTTACTATAGTATGTACTTAGATTAAGCACACGGTAGCCAGGGGCTGAAGAATGAATATAAGACCTTCACACATCTTACATTTTTTTCTCTAGCATCAATATGTGATAGTGTATATATGTGAAAAATAATCAGATAAAAAACAGGGAAAATGAATCACTCCACTTTACATACTTTTCTTCCTTATAGGAGAATATTAGTTAAAGCAGAAGAAAGTGTTTAGGTACTACAGAAATGAATGCAATATCAGAATCTGCAAGAGATATTTGCTCTGTGAATCCCACATGAACTTTCCCAAACGAGCCAGGCTCATTTAGAAATTTAAATGTGAAGACGAACTTCTTTTTTTTTTTTGTCCTTGAGAGACTGTTTCTATCTATTACATCTTGCTAATAATGTATTCTGCCTGTCATCACCTCATTCCATTGCTCCGATGGTACTTCATTTGTGCTTTTAAACAGTGCCATTTGCTTAATGCGTATCCCAGTACACAATAGACAAATTTACTATGATGTTTTGGGCTCATTTTGTTGAACTTTCATTATTCTTATAGACATTTCTTGACTTATCCCTGGTAATTAAAATTTTCTCTTCCATCAAATGTGCAGGCGAGTCGCTGCAGCCAGGTCAGAGTGAGCGACGCATTTTGATATTGGACTGCAGTGGTCTGAATTTCTTTGACTACACTGGAGTCTCCATGTTGCTTCAGGTATTAGTAATACCAGATACATTCTGTACATTAAAATATATAAATACACACACAAGTTGTTCAAGTCAGCTACTAGTCATACCACTTACAATGGATAAAGGGGGTAAGTCATGAAAGAGATGACCAGAGATTTGGTACTGAACTGTGTTTGTATAAAATTATATACAAATAACTTATATTTAATGGAGCTGCATTTCAGAAAACACTTTCTTTGCTGTTATTTTCATTTTTTTGTGTTTTTTTTTTGTTGTTGTTGTTGTTGTGGGTTTTTTTTTGTTTTTGTTTTTGTTTTTTGGGATTTTTTTTTTGTTTTTAATTTTAAAGCTGATTTATCTCACATCACACTGTCAGCTTTAAAATTTCAGTTTTTATTTCTGTGACTTCATCTGTATGACCTACTTTTTTCTAAGCCAGGGGTCTTAATGATCTCCATGTTCTCTTCTGTGGCTTACATACCTAGCAAGCTGGGTTCTTCAGGCATGACAGAAGGTCCAGGAAGCTCCCAAATGACCAAGAATAGCAACAACATAATGATCAGCACTATACAGCAAATGAAAAAATATGTTCAAAAGCTACTTTCTATTTCCATCGGGTTTGGCACTTAATAGATTTGCAGTGGGTACAGATTTAATTGGTTGTGCAAGGTTTGGTTCACGTAATTTTTCTGTTTAAGATAGAAGACTAAATTTGAATCATCATAGAATCATGGAATGGCCTGAGTTGGAAGGGACCTCAGGGATAATCAAGCCCCACCCTGCTACAGGCAGGACTGCCAACCTCCACATTTAATACTAGACCAGGCTGCCCATGGCCCTATGCAACCTAGTCTTGAACACCTCCAGGGATGGGGCATCCACAACCTCTCTGGGCAGCCTGTTCCAGCACCTTGCCACTCTCATAGTAAAGAACTTTCCCCTGACGTCTAAACTAAATCTTCCCTCCTTCAACTTAAAACCATTTCCTCTTGTTCTGCCATTATCTATACTTGTAGGCTCCTTTTAGGTACTGGAAGGCTGCAATGAGGTCACCCCACAAAAAGCTGAAATTGTGTTTCAGCCCAGGCTTTTTCTTATCCTAAGTGTCTTCTCAGTTTGCTGAATTGATTAAAAAAAAAAAAAAAAGTGTTAAATTAAAAATAAGCATATATGTGGGGACATAGTTAGAAGGCAAACTGCTATGAATAAGTAAGGTGAGTGAGAATTACTCTTTATTACTTCTTCCCTCAAAAAAAAGAACATTCAATAAAATCAGTAGGAAAAAAATAAGTAGTTTGTCAACTGATTCGCAAAAGATCTGTGAGACCTCAGAACTACGGATTAAATCCGAGCCATTTGACAAATCTGTGGGACACAAATCCATGCTGGCCTATAGCATAGATGAAGGCTTAATGACAAAACTGGGGTTACCCATAGGAGGAACGTGTTCAACATTTTACAGTCCTTCCCTGTATATCATCACTACCACTGGAGTTAGAGGGATTTTTAATGTGGAACATGCTTCTGGGTCCTTTTAAAAGTAGGTTATACTGATGATGTTCTCACTGAATCACTTCTCTTTTCTCAATTGTTCCACTTCACATGGATTAGTTAAGCATTTTTTTGCAACAGGGACTGCTTTGGATGTTTCCTTGTCTGCCAAAAAAAAAAAGACCCTACTCTTCTTCTAGAGTTATTTTCATTTTTTATTACTTTCTAGCTTATTGAATACCTAGTCTCTGTGAAACTGCACATTTCAGAGAAAGAATAAAGAACATCTTGCTGCAGAATGCAGCATGCTGGCTATGGTACTTATTTGATAGACTGCTGGAAGTTGGACTAGATTACTTTTAAAGGTCCCTTCCAACTCTAAGGATTCTAAATCCAATACTTGACTTTGTGGGCTGGTAGGTAAGCTTGTGGAAAAGAGCTGGGTAAACTTGCAGAAAAAGGCATACTGGAAAAAAATGCATACAAATGTTATTTTAAATGGTACATTATTAATTAGATTTTGATCAGATTTTTTTACCAGCAAAGCTGTCGAGCACTTTGCAGACGGGGGAGGAAATGATGCTTTCCTGCTGAGCATGGTTCAGTGCTGTTTGTATTATGGAGGGGCTCTCTCTGGTGGCTGTTGTCAGTATAGTATGAACAGCAGCACGCCGTGCTCTGCCTATTTGAATATGTTCTTGTTGGGTGTGGTGTTGGTGTTTTAAACCCTTTTTTTTTTTTTTTTTTCCCACATTTTCACACCTATAGATTTACATGGATTGTAAAAACAGACACATTGAAGTGTTGCTCGCATGCTGCAAAGGCAAGTATCAACTTACAGTAAAACTTTCAACATTACATTTATATATTCTTGCTACTTTATCAGTGTTCATATGTTTGTTTTGCTACAGCTTCCTTGATTAAAGCAATGCAGTATGGTGGAAATCTCGAATCTGAAAACCCCATCTTCTTTGAGTCTATTTCTTCAGCAATCGGTGCCAGTCAAATTCCCAGGGTGAGATTTACAGCAGGGGTAGGGGAGGGCTGGGGGCTCCTTGGGTGCTCACTGAGCTTTGATAAAGCTTTCATTTGGGAAAATGTCATGTATTCAGTGAGCCTGTTGTACAGAAATATTTTATCTGTATACTCTGCAGCCAGTCCCCAGTCTCTGGATTGCATTTACCACTTTTTTCTTGCTTGCACTCTCTTCTTGTCCCCTTCTCTCCTTTTGCAGTAACTTCTCAGTCTTCTATGCCAAATCCAGAAGTGTGTTGTGTTGTTCATTAATCTGGGTATATGTTCCATTGGAAAGCATAATAACATCTCAGAATAACCAACACAGCCTCTTGGTGAGGCAAATTATCTTCTATTCTGTCATGCATTGCAAAGCAACACTCTGTTCCTCAACCTGCGTTGCTTAAAGCAGCACACCTCTGCTGTTAGCACAGTCATTGGCCATTAGGTGCACATACGCTAAGTAACAGAGAAATGAGATAAACTGAAGAAGGGTACTGTGCTAGTCTGACCAGAACACTTTGGCAGATTTGTTTGGAGCTAATAATCTTATGTCTGCCATGCAGTGCAGAGCGCTGTGCTGGCTCCTTGGTGGGAAGAGGAGAGAGGAACTTTATGTGGTGGAAGGGAGAGCTACAGGGAGAAGGAAGAAAAAAGGTTGTCTTAGAAATTGAGGCTTGAGGCTTGAAAGTGCATTTGCTCATATATTTATTTGCTCGATAATAAGTCTTGCAATCCTTGCTAGAAGACTATAAACCTGGGCCTTCCTTATAATGGAGTCTGTTCCATTCTAATGTTCAGTGGGAAATATGGTGGACTGGATGATCTTAGAGGTCTTTTCCAACCTTGGTGATTCTATGATTGTAATCCCTGTGCAACTGAGCGTGCATTATAAGCAGTGTGCATTCCTGTGGTTGTATTTATGATTCCAAACAAGAGTAGAGCTCCTTTCAGAGCCCTGTTCAAGAGATATTAAACTAATCACGGTCTGCGGTATTTGTTTTCACTTTTCTCCCCTTTACTGTGATCTGACATGTTACCAGTAAAATTAGAGTTGCTCTTGAATAGAAAAATAAAATAAAAAAATAAAATAAAAGAAATCATTTTTCAATGATTTATCCAGATGAAGTGATTTCGCTCTGTTAGTCTGGAGGATTGACTGGGAAAAGTATGTTCTCTTCAGTGCTTTTCAACATTTCTTTTTGTTGCTCTGCAAAAATTAAAAATAAAAAAAATTCAAATGGCAGGGTAAAATAATGGGGATGGTTATTGTATATTTTGTCTGGGCCTGATTAGATGAATTAGGATGACTGTCATGTTATAAAAGATCTGAATTCTTTATAGACACCAGGTAACCTTTCTAATGTTCCTGTGAGATAGCTGGTATTCCCATTTTATGGGAATGGGGAATGGAAAGGCCAGGAGAAGTATTCAAAGTAAAAAGGAGCTCAAGTCCATTTTGCCATGACTTGAGAACATGCTACTACCACACCTGATAAGCAAACTGGTGAAGTGGTGCACTCTGAAAGACTTGGATATAGTCTGAAATTCCGAGTGTAATTAAGTATAGATTAAGCATACATTAGTATGCTGCTGATGCCACTTTATAGTGTTTAAGATACATGGTTTGGTTTCTCAGTGTGTTCATTGCCTTTCACATCGGAAGATAAAAAAAGGTGGGCAGAAGTAAAGTGGCGGGGTGATCTCACTAGCAGCACCATGCTGTAACTGGGGCCAAGATGCTGAGGTCAGCAGGAAGTGTGAGAAAAGAAGAAGTGGCAGAAAAGAATACAAAAGAGCAGGTGATGGAGATTTATGGAAAGTGTTTTGTCTGGGTTTCCATTTCTGATCCCCCCACATCAGAATTTCAGTGGAAGAAGGCTAGAGGCAAGAGGACTTGGTGGTTCCTTTGCATCTTTGCTGCATTCAGGAAGACAAGGATACTCTTATGTACATCCAAGGTCAATATCGAGCCATATTCATTTTTAAGTTGATAAGAGACATATCTTTTGCTTTGTACCATTCATCCTCATAAATAACTTTTTGATTTGCAAGACTTCTTAATGGTGGCAATTTCAAGCTAGCACTGTTTCATCGGCAAATTTTCTTGATATTCTACGAAAACATTGTAATAATTTGTTTTCTGTTTCTCACAATTTAGAAATACAGCAAGTTCACCGAACAGAGTGAAGTGTGATGTCAACCCATCCAATGTGGATAGTTTGACCGGCTCATATGCAGAATGAACTACACCACGGTTTCTTGTTAGCTTTTTTTTTTTTTTCTCCAGGAGATATCATAGATGCTATTTTATATGCCATTTATGTTTAGTGCACTCAGTAATGACAGATCTGCCATTCAGAACATTCCGCTGCCATCTCTCAGAGATTGTTCCTATAGTTGATCTACAGTGGTTTTTATAATACTCTTATACACATTTAGAGACAAATTATTAGAAAGCAGATGTGGGGTACTGACTGTGTTTAACAGTGAGATATATTCTTTTAGATATCTTCTATTATAACGTTAGTTGTAATATGCATCCGTAGTTTTGTGCATGGAATAATGAGACATTAGGATTTCTTAAAAGCACAATGTTATAATTGATACATTATATTTGGAAAAGCCATATACCAATGCATACTTTGTTTCTGGTGGAGTTATTTACCCTTTTCGTTGTTCAAGACAGCTATTTACAGTAACAGCATCACAACACAGCTAACATATCCTTGAATTTTTCGTACATGGTTACTGTAGGATTTTTTATGCCTGCCAAGGTCAGTGGGAGCACCATTTGTTGAAAGAAGGCAGATGTATGTTGGTAGGGTTGTCTCCCTCTCTAGTAGATGTTGTGAGTTATTATAACGGTTTGCTATATTTTCAGTGCCATGGGTATTCTTTAGCTTAGATTAAAGAGGAAAAACTGGTCATATTTTTTCAAAACTTTTTCTTGTTTTCAGCACAGTCATCTGCATTTCCAGCTTGAGCTGTTGTTTGGTCAGTGCTGGAATTTGATCATGTAAGAAGTAAGTTTTATTTGTTGCCCAAAGTGCATTCATGTCAGATGAAGTAGTTGATTGCAAATGTCTTTGACAGGTTATAACAGGCAATAACATTTAATTATTAAATTCTTCAGACAGTCTTAGTGATTTATGAACACTTCAGACACTATTTATATTGCACTTTCATTGTAGAAGAATCAACTGTATGTCAGAGCTGAATGGAGAACTCTCCTTAACACAAGCTGAATAAATGAATAAAAGTCTTCTTTTCTATTAAGTTCAGTATTTATTCTTTGACAATTATATGCATTTTCTGAAAATTTAGAGATATGTTGGTTAAAACATGGTCTTTAGAAAAGAAAACACCTACCATGAGACCTTCAATTTTGTTCTGAATAATCTTGTTAACAGTAATACAGATGCTGTTAAAATTATTTGTACTGTCAGTGCTTGATGAAATCCTTGGCAACTCTGCATCAAATTAAAATTTTTTTACTGCTAATCAAAATGGTTTCCATTTTCCCCAGTGTTCAATAGAAATAACTTTTCTACAGCTGGATTTTAGTATCAATTTCAACCTAATACAGAGTTTAGTAACTTCAACACTCTTCTGTATAGACTGTCCACTAGCTTCCCTCAAGTTCATCAGCAAATATTAGTCTGTATATAGGTAGGAGTGTATCCCAAACTTCCCATTAGTTACTCTATGTATGGCCTCAAGTTGCACCAGGGGAGATTCAGGCTGGATGTTAGGAAATACTGCTTTTCTGTAAGAGTGTTCAGGTGCTGGAATGGGCTGCCCAGGGAGGTGGTGGAGTCACCAACCCTGGAGGTGTTCAAGCAACATCTAGAGATTGTGTTGAGGGACATGGTTTAGTAGAGCTGTTGGTGATAGGTGGATGGTTGGACTGGATGATCTTGGAGGTCTTTTCCAACTTTGCTGATTCTGTGATTCTATGTTTGTTCTTCTGAGTCAGGAGGGCAAGTGAGCCAAACACACCCTGCAGCAAAGAGACTGCACAAAGCAGTTAGCATTAAATGCCCAGGTATCATTCTGAAAACTAAGATGAGTCATAGCCAGTAAGAATAAGGGAGTGTTGTTATTCTGCTCTCTTGAGGCAGACATTCATCTCTGTACATTCTGGCTTTATTTACCTAAGTAACCACAGGGACAATTCAGATGAATGCAAAGTTTCATTAATTGTACTTGCATGCCTAAGACTGAGCAGCATTACAAGAGCCTAGTATTGACAAGTGCTGAGCTCCCTTGCTTCCTGTTTGTTTTGAAGGTTTGAGAGGCTTGAGGAGGTATCTCCTCTCCTAGCATGCTGTTCTGCATGGTTTCACCTAGTGAAGCCAACAGGAGCTCTGGGCAGTAAGCAATTCTGAAAGAGTAGGTATTCATTCTGCCTCATGAAGGTGTACACAATGCTCAGATTTTATATTCCTTAATTCAAAGGGTATGAATCATCTACATTATGAAAATCCATGTTTCAGTGTTGCAAATTTTGGTATGTTCTGCACTTTATAGGAAAACATTCCAATATTATTTTCAAGAGATGCTCAATACCTTCATTGATTTCATTTGCTTGATGTGTTCAGGAATTTTCAGATATTTTTAGGAATTAATTCTAAATGCTAGATATTATATAATGTGAATTAAGAGTTTTCCCTCAAAATTTAAGATGTATTAATTGAGGTATGTTAAAATGGGGATCTGATCATATGCTTCCTGCAGAATTTGTTTCACACATTCCAAAACAAAGCAATCAATGAGGAAAAAAAATTGAGTGCAAACTGATGTAAAGAAATGAACATAGTGACAATTACAAATTAGGCATAAAATATGTAATAAGGAAAAGACTGTTAACATTATATTTATGCAAATTAAATGTTTCTAATTCTCATCATATGTCTTTCTTTTTAAAGGTTATTTGCCCTGATTCTATGATTCAAGTGTCACAAGGTCTGATTTTAGCTGCTTTGACATAATTTATTTGACAGCTCTGTGTGCCATAAATATATAATGTAACGAGGAAAGGTATCTGCACTGTTGAATGAAAACATTAATGCGTCAATACTGTGTGTGAATACTGTTTGACATTTACTGGTTACAAAAATAAAATACACAGTATGCCTTGAAAATATGGCACTCCTATTTTTGGAAGAGATTTTCTTTGTCTACAGAAAGTAGCATCTCATAAATAAATGAACGAGTGCACTTCCAGAGTGGATGCTAAATGGTGCTTTCATCATGAAGATGGATTTTCAGTAAAGATCACATAATCTGCATGTTTCCATATGTTTTACAATGCTTTTGATTTATTTTTTTTCATGTTTCAGTGTTGAGTATTAGCATACACTGCAATAAATTTACATGGAAATAAACTGCAATATGAGACAATTCACATGTGCAAAGAGGAAACCATCCTCATTATTACAACACTTAGCAGCTTTTTTTTTTTTTTTTTAAATCACATTTTTTACTAACCAATCTGTAATGAGATATGTTGTTTTCTTGAGACTCAAAAGGTATTAAATGCATTAGGTCTTAAGAATGAATCATAGAATCATAGAAAGGCCTGGGTTGAAAAGGACCACAATGATAATCTATTTTCAAACCCCTGCTATGTGCAGGGTCACCAACCACCAGACCAGGCTGCCCAGAGCCACATCCAGCCTGGCCTTGAATGCCTGCAGGGATGGGGCATCCACAGCCTCCTTGGGCAACCTGTTCCAGTGCGTCACCACCCTCTGTGTGAATGTGTGAATGAGAGAAGTTACATTATATTCAGAAGTTTGGCTAGCTTACATTTCTTAGTATAATATCTAACCAACATTCTTATCTCCATGAGAGGTATAGAAATCTCAGACCAATATTCCCAATATTTCTTCTATGTATATACTGCCATTTGAGAGTCTTTTGCATCTACAGATGGTGCACACGGATGGTATATAGAAGTCTGTGGCTTACCCCACTACTGGGGAAATTATGGGTAAATCCTTTCACATTCCTAATAACTGTGATGGCATTAATGAAAAAGAGACTGACATTCCCTAATAAATTTGGTCTTGAAAGTAGCAGCCTAATTTTTCATGCCTGGAAATTTATGAAAGTATTTGCCTCTACCAAAATTAATGCATCATCCATTTTTGACTTTACACTGATTTGCAAAGCATAAATGACTTTCAGAGCCACAAATTCATACAGGCTATTTTCTAGAGCTCCACTACTCAAAGGCACCCACAAAATGGTGAGGAAACCACTCTGGAGTGAGATGGCTGAGTAAAACCAGTCTTTTTGTTCCCAGAACTGGTATTGAAGTTCAAGATCATTTCTCACCAGGGTCTTGAGAGGTTGATTCAGGAGCAGCTCCTCCCCTAAGAGGAATCTTCTGGCTCCATGACACTTCTGAAAAGCATGACATGCAGAAGCAGATAAATGGATATCTGTAATTTTTTCCTAATGTACTTTCCAGTAGTAAAAAGCCCTTTCATGCTGGGAACCTTCAGGTGAATAAAGACTGAGAAGAACTGAGGGAGCAAATCATACTGCTGCATGGGTGGTTGTAAATGCCTGTATTGTCCCTCTGACAGACCTGGTGATTGTAAATGCTTTGTATCCCCACTGTGCTTTAAAAATGCAACCAGAACTTAAGAATTCCATAAAACTCCACAATGATGAATTAAACTGCACCCTGAACATTCACCTAAATCCCACTGTCTCCCAGTAACTGTACATAGTCTTATATTCCGTGTGAGAAAGAGTTTGATCCTTAACTGTTACTAGCAGTTGTGAAATTTTGGAGATCACTGTTTTTGCACATTTTTTGCTTTGTTGAGTAAATCATATAAACAAAGCCATGATCAAATAAGCTGACACCTGTAGACCCTGTGATATGGTTAAAAATGTTTGTTGCTCATCAGTTCAGGACAAAAGGTCTCTGTTAGTCCATAAAGTGCCAGGAGCACTACAGAATGACACATAACAGCTCTCATTTGGTTACAGATTTGGGCAATTTGTTGCTTCTGAGGAGACTGAACTAGCAAACTGGTAGAAAGAGTGTAAGTTTTTAGAAACATGAGGAGACAGGAAAGGACCTGTTCCATCAGAGAGTTGCTTTTTGTGTGTGTGTGTCATCTGATGATCTTATTTTATGATCTTAGAGAATGATCTTTAAATTAAACTCATGACTGCTTGGGACTTGATTTGCTTTCTCAAACATTTGAAGTCTGAACAGGCTATAGTAATTTATAGCAACAATTCATCTGTGGTAGACTAAAGGTGGAGAGAGTGTTGAGAAATGGGAATCAGTATTACCCAAGCAGCAGTCATATAGCTCCATGCTGGCAAACTTCACACACCTCCTCTTGCTATCACTTGTCCTCTTGCTGATTTAGTCTTCCACAAGTACAGGCTTTCATACATACTTGCTCCTTGATCTTATTCCATCTGTAAATTTCTGGGCATCCTATGATAAGGGAAAAAGTACAATGTTTACTTAATCCCATGCTTTTGAGGAGGACTGTCTGCATATATCACGTATCAGATGCCAAACATCACACTTCCCTTAGGGTCCATCTCAACTGGATCATCAGTAGTCACTGCAGTAATTAGCTGTAATGTCTTCAGCTGATTTTCCATTCTGCTTGTGTGAACCTGCTGTCTCTACATCTCTATTACTAAAGGCCTCTTCTAATATGTTTCAAAATAATATAATGACATTTCCTATCCAATAAAATTTGGTAGTCACAGTACCAGAATTGTCAGTATATTGTCAGTGTAGTACTGAAGTACAAGCTAATAATTTCAAACATGCTTTGCATTTGCTTTCAGGTTCCTTTTTCTCTTTGTCTGCAACTCCTTTTAAATTTTGAAATTTCATTCTGTTTTAGCTTGGTTCCTATAGCCAAATTCTTAATTTAGAGAACCTCCATAAAAGAAGACATGTTTTGATAGAATGAGAGCAATCCTAACTTATAAGAGAAAAAAATAAATCTCTTTTTTTGATCTTGCAACATTTCCGGATTTGAAACAGGTTTTGGAATATTACATTTGCAATCTGCATTTTCATTTTATTTTCAGCAGTAAATCTGTGTTTAAATCTTCCAATCATATTTCAGGTTCATTGCTGGCCTGATTCTGTTGTTCCCTTCAATTATCTCAAGTATGCTTAATATTTTCAATTCCTAATCCCAAGAAATGGAGATGGAGACTTTAAGGGGATTTGTGACACTCTGCAGACCAGGAGATTGCAGGCTTTGTTTGTTCCCCCTTCTTCTGTCCTCTTTCCTACAGTCTCCTCTGCAACTTGAGTAACCCAAATGTTTTTGGGTGCAACAGTAACTGCAGCACAAGTGCAGCAGTGCAGATGCAAAGCCAGAGACCAGACTCAGATGCTGCTGGACTGTGGGACTGCGGAGGATTTAGGACTAGGAGGAGGCAGTGGAATGTGGGAAGAGGCCAGATGGGAGAAGAAATATCAAGGGAATGGGAGCATGTAATATTGTGCATGAGTGAAAAGGCTGATGAGCATGTGGGGCAACTGGGATGTCGGGTTATATAGGGTGAAGGAGAAGGTGTGATGGAATGAAGGAGTGAAGGAGAGGTGGATGATAAAAATTTGAACCGTTTGCTATTGTCAGGCCATTAGTCAGCAGGAAAGTTAATTTTCTGCAGAGATGCCACTTTCACAGAGGGATAGTTCCCCCACACTGCCATAGATCCTGCTGATATAGTTTTAAAAGCCTTTTTATTTCTTTACAATAATAAAAA